TGGCACCTACTCAACTTCATCTCCCTATCCTTCTCCAACAACTGCAACTTAACAAAATACCGATCCAGCTTCAACGGCGGAAACATGAAGTTGTCCAGCCTATACTGGCTATAAAACACCGTCTGGCCATCCTCAGTAACCCCGAAGGGTTCCGTGACATCCGTGCGCCTGTTATACTTCTTCTGCTGCAACGGAGGCTGACAGGTCAAGAACGCCTGCTTGAGATCCGGGTAGCGTTCCGGGCTGAGGTAGCCAATGACGGTCTCGCCCGCGTACGTGGGTTCATTGGTGATGGGGTGCTTGAAGTGTTTGACGGCGTAGATGAAACCTTCCCGGTCAGAGGAATTGCCGACGACGTGGTGCAGGTGGCCGCGGCCTGCGGGGCCGTGCTCGATCCCGAGTCCGTGCCGGTATGGTGGCCAGGTGTTGTCGTGGAAGTCTTTCGGCGCCGGGGGGAAGGTGGAACCAGACGTGGCTGATTTTCCAGGATGGGTAGGGGGCTCTCGGCTTGGGGTAGGTGGTGGGTGAATCTGGAGGAGGAGGAGGAGGAGGTGTTTCTGGTCGGAGGGGCACTTCGGTTTGGATAGGGGTTCTTCTTCCGGTGTAGAAGGTGGTTCGTGTTTCGGCGTCGAGGGGGGTTTGGCTGGTCATGATGGTTTAGATGGGGTGGGTGAGGATTAAGAATGACGGTGTTTAGGGTGTGCGGTAGGTATGGATATTAGGGTTATGAGGCAGCGAGGACGGGAGCTGGTAGACATCTTCGAGATGAAGTGGTTATATATGAGGCATTGGTTGGATGAAGACGGAAGGAGAGGCTAGGGAAGGTGCGCCTGTGCAGTATACCGCGGAAGACGTTCGACGTAAACAACATACTTATTGCGTGCATGTTGAAGCAATGGAGTTGGCTTTTCATTCACTAATTCAGTTCTAGACTCGTAACCTACTAAGTTCAACGACGAATATACAAGGATTCAAAGCAGCCAAACATGTTCAGTGGAAGGCAATTAATGATTTCAACTAACGCAGAAGAGCAGCATGGATGCGAGCGATACCAACCTGAACCGTTACTTCAGTAAACGGCACCTGGCGCACCTGGCGCACCCAGCTAGTCTAAGCAAACGGAGAGCACTGCGCCAGCCATGTTGTCGAAAAGTTCTGTTTATGAGGGTACTAATCAGGGGAATAGGAGACGGAGAAAGAAACGCCACAGATGAAGGAGATCGAGGAGAAAGCTGGCTAACAAGGGTCAGGATAAGCCGGAGGTAAGAATCGAAAAATTATCAGTGAGTTGTCGCGCACATATCTAGCTGTTCAGGTAGCTGCGTATAGCACCTAAAGATTCTGTGAGTAAGGCTTCGCCGTGAAGACAATGGGGATAGACTAACCTTGCAGCTTAGTTGCGCCCTCCCCGACGAGCTGCGTCAGGTTCTCAAGGTCATCACCCGCGGTGATACCGAAGCGACGCACAAAGTCCTTGGCAGCATTTTCAAGATCACCGTAGGTATCATCGGCCACGGGAAGATCATCCTCAGGACGTCCAAAGTAGGAGTTGCTCGAGATGGCCTGGGCGCCGTCGAATTGACGAAGGCGCTCCTTGGCCTCAGCCTGAGCATTGGGGTCGAAACGATCGCGTCCGAAGAACTCGTCGGAAGAGATACCCTTCTGGCTACCGAAGCGAGACTTGGCCTGCTTCAACTCCTCATCTGTAAACATCGTTAGTCGTCATCCTAACCACTATAACAAGGCAAGTCGCATACCATCAGCTGCAGACCGAGGGGCAACAGCACCGAAGCCCGGCTTCTTCGGGGCAGCCGGCTTCACGCCGACAGTCTGTCCAAATCCGAGTCTTCCAATTCCCATGCCAAGACGCTCAACATCGCCAGACTTGCGTTCTTGGGTGTTCCTGCTAGGGCTGATAGGAGTGGGCGAGGCAATCGCCGTGGCAGCGGTGGTGGTCGTCTTGGCCTTAGCATCGGCCTCAGCCTGCTCGGCTTCAGGGTTGTAGCCCAGCTTCTCAATGCGCTCAGCCTCCTCCTTGGCCTTTCTCTCAGCCTCATCGAAGTCGATAATTTCCGCGGCGCCGATCTTCTTAGCCCCCAGCTTGGGGGCCTTCTTGGCGCCCAACACGCTGCCCTTCTTCGCAGTGGTGGTAGAAGGGGTCTTACGGACAGCAGCGCTGGCCCGGATGGCGGTAGGGGCAGGGGAAGAGCTGTCCTTGTCGGAAGCGGAAAGGGGCGACTTGGAGCGGGAACCGTTTGCGCCGGAGTTCAGGAAGGGCGAGCCAGTGCGGCTGACAACCGGAGGGGTACCGGTACGGGAAGGGGGGTTGCTGGGGCGCTTGATGGAGGGCTTGTCCCAGGAAGAGAAGAAGTCGTCATCCTCAGCGGCGGGGGTACTAGAGCCGTTGGACGGAGTGCCAGCGGGGATATCGGTAATGACAACCTCTCCGGGGTACCTATGCGTAACAAGAGGCATTAGAACTGGAAGATTTGCAGAGCATCCGGGCCCACTAACTGTTGCGCATCCTGCGCAGCGCGTCTCTTGAGCTCCTCTTTGTACTTTACGGCGGCGTTGCAGGTGTACTTGACTTTGACGTCCTTGCTGGCGAGAGCGGCAGAACCGCCGTGCGATTGGAAGTACTTGGTAGCGGACTCGTTACCGCCGACCTTCATAACCCGGAGCTGTTCCCATTGCCATTCTGCACGTATCACATTAGCACCGACGGACATGGAAGTCAGGAGATGCGATGAAGCATACGGTCGAGGTTGGTGGAGCGAACGAAGGAGATATGCACGCCCAGGTTACGGTGATTGGCCGAGCAGTCAAGGCACAGGTAGATACCGAAAGGCACAGACGACCATGTTGGGTTCTTGGAGCCGCAATCGAAGCAGATCTGTGGAGGTCAAAAAAAAAGGCAAGAGTTAGAATGGCTGGTCGGAGTAATAGTAAGAAGAATAATAAGTCTGCCGGGGAGGGGCACTGCGCGCCTTGTTTGCGGGCTTGAGTTTTAGCTTCTCAAAGATCTTCTGAGACTCCGTTTTGGAGGCACTCATGATGGGCGAATTGAATATGATAGAAAAGGACCCGAGGGAGAGGAAGAGGAACGGGCCAGCAGGCGGAATAGATTTATGACACAACGGAGAGGTCGGGGAGGAAGAGAGAGGGAGAGGGAGATCCGAAAAGGCGAAGCGGGAGAGACGAACGTGGTCGGATTGGGATTGGGAAGTGCCCCGTTATGTGACCCTGCCAGATTTGCAGGATGATCCGGTAATTTTAAACTTCAGGTCTGGATTTCGGGGGGGTGGCACGTCTAGAACAGCCGCTAGTGGCGAGGATGTTCACAGCCATTGTCATTGAAGACTTGCTAGAGAGTGTTCATCAGATTCTATCAGACTACTCTATCTCATCTAATTACTCAATTTACATACCATGTTAGACATAAATCCCCGAGCACTTCTATTACATAGTTCCAACCCAATAAAACCCGTCCGTCCTGGTCCCTGATCCTCCGTACTACAAATACACACCCACCCCTACTACTCCATCCATACCCGAAACTTTGCAAACATCCGCGGCTCAAACACCGCCGGAAGTGGATTTACCACGTGACCCACTCCATTCCCCACACGCCCATCATCCACGGCTCTCTGCTAAAGTCCCATCCGACAATAATTTCATGATACCAATATCCCGCAGTGAACAACAGCTGGATTTCGACGGGGACGACCTGTGGTATGACGGTCAACAATACCTAAATCAACCGGATCAACCAACACAACAACAACACCCACAATGCTCCCATCCACAGCGCCCTACCAACTACTACTACGACCTAGTAGTAACCGTGCCGCTTTGCGCCGGCTCCAACTCCAACACATCGGTCTTCTTCCCCGCAGCAGCACAACAACAGCCACAGAAACAACAACAGCATCATCACTACTATTCCTACGAAAATACGCCACGACACAAGGCGCCGCCCCGAAACGACGAAACGTGACTGTTCTCTCCGACGATGGACGCTACGAGTGGGGAGAGTTGAGCGGGCGGGAGAAAGTCGCGAGGGCGACGCAACAATCGGTGAATTTCGTGGTGATTATTGCGGGGGCTGTGTTGACGGTTCGTTAAGCTGAATAATCACTATGTGTGTGTAAGGTGGGTGTGATTGCTGATATATATGTGTGTTGCGAATAGGGCGGAGTCTTCTACCTTCTCTTCACGGAGGTCTTTTCCCCGAATAGCAAGACATGGCAGTTTGAGAAGGCGGTGGAGCGCATCAAGGATGATGCCCGGTGTACGGATCTCCTGGGTGATCGGAGGGAGATTAAGGCGTATGGGGAGAATACGTGGAGTAGGTGGGCGAGGAATAGACCTATTGCGTATGTTGATTCTATTATCTATTTTCACTGCCTCTCGGCAGGAGGATTGGGGTGTGGTGCTAATGGGGATATAGGACGTCCGTGTATCAGGATAGATTGGGTCGCGAGCATCTGAAGATGAATTTTCATGTATGTGATGCTCGTCTCGTCTACAATCTTCGAGGTTGGTTGTGGTATACTGATTGGTTGTGATATAGGTCGAGGGTCCGCTTAATTCCGGAACTGTGTTTGTGCACATGATGAAGCCGTTGAATGAGCATCACTGGGAGTATCAGCTTCTTGCTTTGGAAGTGCCGGGTATGTTTGGTTCATTGACTTCGATACTATGGGAGGGTTGAACTGACTTGTGTAGGACATTCCCGGGTTGTGCTTGAAGAAGCGCGCGAGAAGCCTGGTGTTGGACAGGCGCTGAAGATCTTTGGTATCAAGTGGCGGTAGACGGGAAGCGCCATTTGGACCGGCAATATGAAGGGACTGCAGTCATCCCGAATATGAGTACTGTATTATATACGTGAACTGTTTATGAGTGTAAAATATACCATAGGAGAACTGAATCCGGGCATAAGTCAATACTAGCGACCTTATATCAATACCTCACTATATGTTGAACAATGTAATGTATGCATGCATCTCATAATTCTAAACATCATGTAAAAACAAAACTCATATCACATATATACAACACAACCCTTTTTATCTCTCCATTATACTATCCGGGGCCCCTCCAGAATGGTCTTCGCCTCCTCCGACCTCCACCAACTCTTGCCCTCCTCACCAGGGAACGAAAACGCATCCATGCTTTCCGCCTTCATCTCCACACTATATCCAGGCTCCATCGGGGTGACATAGTACCCATCCTTGACGCTAGACGGGTGCACGAAGTGCTCGTGCAAGTGATCCACATACTCCAACACACTCTTCTTTCCACTAACCACCACGTAATCAATCGTGCTCAAGTGCTGCGTGTACTCAGGCAGACCGACACCACCGGAGTGGGGCACAATCGGCACGCCGAACTTGCGCGCGAGCAGCAGAATGGCCAGAACTTCGTTGACACCGCCGACACGGCAGGCGTCCGCCTGCAGAACGGTCAGGGCTCCTGCCTGCAGGAGCTGCTTGAAGACAACGCGGTTCTGGCACATTTCGCCGGTGGCGACACCGATGGGGCCATAGGGGGTGTCTTGGAGGGCCTTCTTGATGGCGGCGTGGCCGAGGATGTCGTCGGGGGAGGTGGGCTCTTCGATGAACCAGGGCTTGAATTCGGCGAGTTGCTGCATCCAGGTGATGGCTTCGGGGACGGACCAGACCTGATGTCACACGAGGTGTTAGCATTGTGGGTGATGGATGGGAATAGTGGAAAGGTAGGTAAGTACCTGGTTGGCATCAACCATGAGAATGTTGCCCTTATCATAACCAATGGCTTCGCGAGCAATAGCCAGTCTCCTGCGGTCTTCCTCGACGTTTCCGCCAACCTTCAGCTTAAAATGCTTGTATCCCTGCTCGACGCTCTCCTTGAGAAGGACCTTCAGCTTCTCCTCACCATATCCCAGCCATCCCGCGCTGGTAGTGTAAGCCGGTACAGCCTGGCTCTGCTCCGCCTCCTTGATACGGTCCTGCTTGCCAGCCTCGACCTCCTTCAGGAGGGCAATGGCCTCCTCGGGTGTGATGGCATCCGTGATGTAGCGGAAGTCAATGCAGCGGACGAACTCCTCGGGAGTCATGTCCGCGACGATGCGCCAGACAGGCTTGTTCAGGGTCTTGGCCCACAGATCCCAAAGAGCGTTGACGACGGCACCAAGGGCCAGGTGAATGACACCCTTCTCGGGTCCGATCCAGCGCAGTTGGCTGTCGGAGACCAGGTAGCGCCAGGTCTTACCCCAGTCAGCGGTGAGTTCGTCGAGGTCTTTGCCGACAATGAGGGGAGCGAGGAGGGAGATGGCGGCGCAGACGATTTCGTTGCCGCGGCCGATGGTGAAGGTCTAGGGATGTTAGTTAATGTTTCTGAGGTGAAAGTGGGATCATGTGCGTACCATGCCGTGTCCGGTGTAGTCAGAGTCAGTGTAGATGATGCAGTAGGCGGAGGAGTAGTCGCCTGCGGCGTTCATGGCATCGGAACCGGTCTTATCGAGGGAGGTCTGTCATTTGGTGGTGAGCAGGTATGAAGACAGATAGGTGGCTGAGATAATGTGCGCGCGACTTACGGGAAACCTCACGTCCCTCGTAGTGAAACTTGTGATCTTAACCATGGTGACGGCTGATTCTGATCAATTGATCTGAAAAGGAACTGGAGTTGGAAAGAGAAGTCTCTCCAGGTAATCGCAATCTAGTTGCAATGCGGGGCCGTCGGCAGGCACAATATACGCTCCGGGCTGTCAACACAGGCTGTGACGACGCAAAAGAAGCAATTGAATGCTACAGAAGACAGCTGAAAGTAGCGAAAGACAATTGAGAAAACCAAATACAAAATTGAAGCGACCAGGAGTGTCACTGGGCTGGGGAAGTTACTTATACAAGGCGGGCAGACACCCCCTCCCCCTCCACGCAGTGTGGGGAATTTCCCCTCATTGGCGGAGGAATTGCTCCAGCGCGTGGGTTGGGTTTCTCCGCCAGTCAGAGGCCAGCGCTGCCCGGCCAGAATAAATCCGCGTCTTAAATGTCTGCAGGGTTTCTACCGGCAGAGAATGACTCGGTCATTTGCGCGATTTACATTAGGGTGATGCGGACCGGCTTTAGATACGGAAGAAGATACAGGTTGCTCCTAAGAGCGGATATCAGATTCAAATCACTATCGCTGGCGTTAGGTACAGGCAATCTTCGGAATGCATGGGTATAGAGACAGCGTCCGCGTGATGCTGAACCCGAACAGCAGATATACACCATTTATCCGGAAAGACCTCGCTTCTCGCTCTCCGAGAAGAAAATAATCATCCGCCACAGCTTGCGGACCAGCACCTCGGCTTCTTCGTCGAGTGCCTAAATAGCAGAGTTAGCATGATATCAAGACAGACAAGAAGAAACATCAGTAGATTGCAGGTTAAACTTACCTCCTCCAATTGCTCCACCAGCTCTTGGGGATGACCATGCTTGCGAACATGTTCTTCCACCACATCCACAAGCATCTGCTCCTGAACACCCAAGTACTCCACGATCTTCTTCTCGACGAACGGCTTGAGTTGCTCGCTGACCACCGTTTCGTCCACAAACTCCCACTTGACCTCCCAGCCCCAGAGCCCCTCCTTGTCCGTCGGGATCTCGGCGGCCAGCTGCCGGGCTGCTTGTGCCCGTTCCTCGTCGGAGAGACCAGCCGCCTCGGCGGCACTGTCGAACTTGATCGGGATGAGAGGGCGCCGGGCCGTAGCCTGAGGCTCTTCCTCGTCCTCCAGCAGGCCTTCCACCTCGGCCACCGTCCGACGGGATGTAGCAGCCTGGGCCTTTTGCGCAGCGGCTCCGAGGGAGAGCTTGAAGCGCTGAGGCTCCCGAGGGGCCTGGTTCCGAGTCTCCAGCTCTTCCGCCTGGCGCGCAAGGAAGTCGTCGGCCATACCGCGGGCCTGCTCCCGTTGTTGGACAGACCGGGCCCGTTCGCGTTCTTCCGCCGCACGATCTGCCTCGTCCATGCTGACCTCGCGAGCTCGGAATCCTGCCCGGCTACGTAGCCATGCACCCCGGTCGGCATAATAGTCCTCCACCTTGCGCGCGGCCTCGTTATCGTCGTTCCAGTCCCTGTACCGCTTGTCCATCTCCTCACGAACTTCCTGCATCTTAGCCTCCTCTTCCTTGTCTCTCTTCTTTTCGCGCTCCAGGGCGGCAGTTCGACTGCGTTCACGGTTCAGCCAGCGGCGCTCCTGATCAAGGAAGTGCTTCTCGAGTTCCGCTTCCTTTTTCTCCTGACGGCGACGCTCCAACTCCTCATCACTAGCGTCTGTTTCTTCTTCCTCGCGATCAAAGTGAACAGTAGTAGCCCCGTGTATAGAACCGCCATTGACAAAAGACACTCCCTTTTGGTAGTCCTTAGGAATCTGCACGCCAAAGCCCTTAGGGCCAGAAGGCGCCGTAGACACGCTGCGATCCCGTGGACCCAGTGGGACTCCATTGGCACCAGCCGCAGGGCCACTCGGAGCGGAAGGCGGGGGCGATGCCAGTCGGTTGAATCGTGTGCCCGCATTGCGTGCTCTCTCCATGGACTCAATCTCTTCCTCCCTCTTCAAACGCTCGATATCACGACGGTTGCTGCGCTCACGGAAGGCGGCGATCTCTTTGGCGACTGTCTCTCTCATCTCGGGAGGAATATCGGAAAGTTCGTCTTCCACTGTGATGGGAATGGTGACAACCTCCGCTCCCGTACCATCAGTCTGACCTTCTGAGTCCTTCATAGCCGTGTCTCCTTCGCGATCGATTGCCGAGACATCTTCCTTCTGGGTAGGGGAGGTAGGATGGCACAAGTCAGAGAGGACGTTCGCGAGGGTACTGCGTGCAGCATCTAACCGCGCCTGGCGCTCAGCAGGGTCCTGATCGCCTCTGGTGGCTTCGTACTGCTCCAGGTAACTCAAGGAGCTTTCATCGACGACAACCTGCACATTATTAGCTCCGTATTTCTCAAGTTTGCGCCTGACGTACCAGTAGTGTGCTCTTCTCCACCTCACGCTCTTCCTTGTCATCTCCCTCGGACGGTGTCTGTCTCTTCACAGGCACTTGCACGTCCTTTAGCACTTCCACCGCGGTCCCTAGACTTTCGGGGTCCTCGTACTCTGCGAAACCGAATTTGCATGGCTTTTCGTCCGCATCCGTAGCGCGGATCCAACGCCTGAGATTGCCCGCCGAACGGAGAATCTTCTCCACACCCTCGTCACCACCAACGCCCTCAGTAATTCCACCAACGAAGAGAGTCCGCACAATTTCCTCGCGTGTAGGGGGCTGCAGTTGCATCATCGCATCCCGAACGTTCTGACGCTGGGATTCCAGACTGGTCGAACCCAGACCTGCCCGTCTTCCCGGAGCCTCGCTACCGCGTTCTTTGCTCGTATCTGGAGTGGCAGATTTCGGTCCGGACGTACCAAGGCGAATGACGGGGGCAGAGAAGTTGATGTTGGGCATGTTCGGGGGAGGTTGGAAGTTGGGAGGGAAGCCTGCCGGACGACCAGGCTGTTGGGCGTTTGCAGGCTGCATCCCGGGGGGAGGAGTGGTTCCGGGGGCTACCATACCGGGAGGAGGAGCTACAAAGTCAGTAACAGATAACAGATGGGGTATTGAAGAAATGGTAGACTCACCCATGCCCGGGGGCGCACCAGGATAGGCGCCAAAGTCTGGAGGCCTGCCATAGAGACCAGGAGCTAAGAAAGTTAGAATACGTTCGTTAATTTCGTAAGGACACGCAGCGATGCTATCCAATGAGGTGGGAGACGTACGCTGGTAAGGATTGTACATTGCGAAGGAATCGCAGCTTCAATGGCGATTGATCGAAGACGTCCCCAGGTACCGGAAAAATTCTGAATAGTCGTGGAGTGAGAGAAAGGGGGATAATGTCGAGAATTCAATCAGATCAGAGTAGAGATTCGCCCGTATAAGGGAGCGTAATCCTCGTCTGATCGGCGGGGACGAGACGTTTGAGCAGATGAAGAAGATCGCGAGCTGCGGCGGAATCGCAGTTCGAGAAGAACCAGGTGGTCCGTGCGGACTTATCTTGGCAGCCCAGCAGTGCTTCCGCTCTCGCCTTATCCGTAATGTTCTATCATCCAGCAATCATTGTACTACTAATATGCAATAAAATAACAGGCGGTCATTTTCTGCTTAATTGACATCAACCCTGCCTTCGAATTCTCTACGCGAGAGGTTCAACTTGCTAAGCCACAGCAATTCCATCAAGTTGCTTCTGCCAGAATATGTTAATGACCCTGCCTTTCAGGAAATATTGTCTTAGGTCTACATTATTATGATACTGGCTCTTTCCCACCATCCCCCCAAGGAGAATCATCACATAAATTTAGCAGAGCCTCACTAGCCAGTGTCGAAGACTCCCGTGCCAGTATCCTAGGGCAGGGGTGCTACTTGATATCTGCAACTCTGTCAAGCAGCTACTCTATGCCGCAATTAGTAATGGTTCATAAGACGCTGCAGCAATTGTTAGTGAAAAGCTAGTTCTTCGACAGGCAGAGCCTCTTCATGTATATGCAGCATCATCGCTCTGGGGTTCGCCAGCTTCGAAGTTGTTCAACTAAGACCACTGAATATATTTTCTTAGTGGGAGGATCACACAGCAGTCCAATTAGTGACATTTCTATCCCTGTTAACAGCCTTCCTCGGATCCAGACGGAATACTTGTCATTGGGTTGCCCTCTACCTATTGGAATCGGCCACATCCGAATTCCACTGATCGTTGAACATCAAAAGGATGCATAGGGAAGAAGTGAGCCATGATTACGATACGGCAATAGTCAATTGAATCCAGAGGTAAAACAGAAGGGGTAGATTGGGGAGGAGTACACAGTAAACGCAACCGGCTAAAAGGGAAAGTATGGAACGATCTCGACCGAAGCTCCCGAGCCTTCGATAGACGATCTGGAAGGGCAGGACGTGGGGGTGACAATTCCACGGCGACCCTTTTCCGAGGGACTGACAGGAACATACCTCTGTAGCTAATACTATCTCTATTATTGGGGCGTGGTCTTGGGTCCTGATAACGCAGGATGGGACTGAGTGCCCGGTGTGACCTTGAAACCGGCTATTGTGTGATTCATCCTGGGCAGAATGGCCAGGACTGTCTTAGTGGAGCCCGGTCAATCTGAATGATGAAGCTTCCCATGACGATGCGGCCGGAGAAACAGACACGAAATCGACGGAGATAACTGCTGTGAGTGTGGAAGTGATGATACGGATAGCTTTCCAGTGGTGATCACCCAAAAGGTGTAGAAGTCTAGAATAAAGTGATGACAAACAGGATCAACGCAAGACAAATGTTTAGCAACGGGAAAGAAACGTTCAGCTGACCGGCAGAGGTTTCTGGAAAGGACAAATGGGAAAGGCGCCCACCGGGGGAATGAGTCTGCGTCACTTTGCTGGTTGTGGTGGATGCCCCACGGCAGCCCCTCCTACGGACCCCAACACGCCGGTTGACGACATACCTTGTCTTGTTGCTGCTCCTCTCCCCTCCGCGACTCCCGCCTTCTAAACTACTATTCTTCTTTCCCTTCAATTCTTCCCTGCTACCCCTCCTCCCTTTTCCCTGCCTTCTTCTCCTCCTTCCTTCCTTCGAATTTCATCTGTTTTTAAAGTAAAAGGTAAGCATCCGTCCTGTTCCAGCTCCATCCAAGCTTCGTCTGCATCAATCCCCTTCTGTTTGTGCCCCGCGCTAACACTTTCTCCTCGTCGGTCAAAGCTCTATACCATCCACCACAATGCCCAGCTTCTCGCAGGCCACCGAGCTCTCCGCCTGGAAGGAGCTCCAGGAGCACCACAACTCCGTCGGACGTAACATCGTCCTCAAGGAGTGCTTCCAGAAGGATCCCCAGCGCTTCGAGAAGTTCAGCCGCACCTTCAACAACACCGTCGACAACTCCGAGGTCCTCTTCGACTTCTCCAAGAACTTCCTCACCGAGGAGACCCTGGCTCTGCTGGTCAAGCTGGCCAAGGAAGCCAATGTCGAGGAGCTCCGTGATGCCATGTTCAAGGGTGAAAACATTAACTTCACCGAAGACCGTGCCGTCTACCACGCTGCCCTGCGCAATGTCTCCAACGAGCCCATGCAGGTCAACGGAAAGAGCGTCGTTGAGGATGTCAATGCCGTTCTCGAGCACATGAAGGAGTTCACTGAGCAGGTGCGCAGTGGTGAGTGGAAGGGTTACACTGGCAAGAAGATCGACACCGTCATCAACATCGGTATCGGTGGCTCCGACCTGTAAGTCGGCCAATTGAAGTGATGAAATGAAAAGCCGTTGCTAACATCACAACTAGTGGTCCTGTCATGGTGACCGAGGCTCTGAAGCCCTACGGTGCCCCCGACATGAAGCTGCACTTCGTCTCCAACATTGACGGCACCCACATCGCTGAGGCCCTTAAGAACTCCAACCCCGAGACCACTCTCTTCCTGATCGCATCCAAGACCTTCACCACTGCAGAGACCACCACCAACGCCAACACGGCGAAGAAGTGGTTCCTCGAGACTGCCAAGGAGGACTCTCACATTGCTAAGCACTTCGTGGCCCTGTCCACCAACGAGGAGGAGGTCACCAAGTTCGGCATTGACAAGAAGAATATGTTCGGTTTCGAGTCCTGGGTGGGTGGTCGCTACTCCGTCTGGAGCGCCATCGGTCTGTCCGTCGCTCTGTACATCGGCTACGACAACTTCCACCAGTTCTTGGCCGGTGCTCACGCCATGGACAAGCACTTCCGCGAGGCTCCTCTGGAGCAGAACATCCCCGTTCTCGGTGGTCTGCTGAGCGTGTGGTACAGCGACTTCTTCGGCGCCCAGACCCACCTGGTGGCTCCCTTCGACCAGTACCTGCACCGTTTCCCGGCCTACCTGCAGCAGCTCTCCATGGAGAGTAACGGCAAGGCCATCACCCGCACCGGCGAGTACGTCAAGTACACCACCGGCCCCATCCTCTTCGGTGAGCCCGCCACCAACGCCCAGCACAGCTTCTTCCAGCTGTTGCACCAGGGCACCAAGCTCATCCCCTCCGACTTCATCATGGCCGCCGAGTCGCACAACCCCGTTGAGGGCGGCAAGCACCAGCGCATGCTGGCTTCCAACTTCCTGGCCCAGTCCGAGGCCCTGATGGTCGGAAAGACCCCTGAGCAGGTTAAGGCCGAGGGTGCCCCTGAGAACCTGGTCTCTCACAAGACTTTCCTGGGCAACCGCCCGACGACCTCCATCCTGGCCCAGAAGATCACCCCCTCCACTCTGGGAGCTCTGATCACCTACTACGAGCACCTCACCTTCACCGAGGGTGCCATCTGGAACATCAACTCCTTCGACCAGTGGGGTGTGGAGCTGGGCAAGGTGCTTGCCAAGAAGATCCAGAAGGAGCTGGAGACCGCGGACGCTGGCTCGGACCACGATGCGTCGACCAGCGGTCTGCTGCTTGCCTTCAAGAAGAAGGCCAACCTGGCGTAAATTTTTGGATACGAAAAGGGATTGAAATAGCAAAAGGAGTACATAGTCATTTTGATGAAGCCACGAGTGTCATCCTTAATTATGAGTTAGCAATGAACTGTTGGACAGTGCAGTACTTGCAGCTGAACTTTAGACAATTAGATCGCATGAAACCTGAAAATATACCAAGGCATAGCCAGTGGCGTTGAATTCACGAGCCTCTTATGTAGCAAGTGCAACATGCAGTCCAAATAGACTCAAATCGGTAAGCAAAAAGGGTCCGTCTCCTTACCGCGGCTCCGACCACGCCGCTTCTCCTGACCATCAAAACCCGCCTTCAACCTCGCCAGCGCGCGAAAATCCCCATTGCGCTGGCCGGCGAGAGCTCCGAATCAATAATTTATTTTCTCCTATTTATTCATAATGCCCGTTCCTGAAAGGGCATCCCTTCATCGGATCTATCACTATGGACTATTGAGTCTCCTCTTCCTCCACACATCCACCGCAGCGGGGAGAAGCAGCAGTGAGCAACGCGCAACAGCAAACCCCGGCTACAGTTATGGCCAAGCGGTGCCAGTAACATGTCTGAACCGGACGATGTACGCCATCCCTGCCTTTATTATACCCGATACTTAATTGCAACGACGTACTAACATAATTGGTGATAAACAGTGACTCCGGCGAACACGTACGCCACCCACCCACAATAACCCCCAAATCCAAACCTAACACAACACAACACAACACAACACAACTAACATACAAATATGATAGATAACCGACCCCCTGGGCAACCTCCAATACATCCCCTTCCCAACATGCAACGAGACCTCCCAACCGCTATCCCTCCACTACGGCATCGCCGAACAAACCCTAACATGCACCATCGCCTCCCTCCCCGATGAACTCTACCACTTACTAGAGTACTACGTCCACTCGGACGTGCCCATGACATGTCGCGTGCCCACCGCGCCGCTTCTCTCTGCCTCCCCTTCCTCCCCGGACATCGACATCATCGATGATGTGGACTCCACCGGCGAACAAGCCTACACGCCCATCACCTTCGCCATCCAGGGCACGCTACAGCTAAGCCATCTGCATATCTGGACGGATATGAATGTCCTGGTGCATAATATGGCCAGTACGGAGAAGAAAAAGAATAAGCGCACGGACCCTGGGTATGTGGTTGCGGGCACGGCGTACAGTGTGCCCGAGTTTGATAATCGGGGGGCGAGGGAGCCGTGGACGGAGGGTCATGGGACGAAGGTTGTGAGGGGGGAGCCGTTGACGTTTCGGTTTAGTGTTAAGTGGGTTGAGGGCGGGAGGGGGATTGGGTGGCCTAGTGATGGGGATGGGTATGAGGAGGAGAAGGGGAGTTGTGGAGGGGGGTGGTTTTCGAGGGTCGTGTTTTTTGGGTTGGCGGCGGTGGTTGGGGCTGTGTTGGCGGTTTATTGGGAGAGGGTTTATGGGAGGGGACGCGGGAGGGGGGAGGGGATTCTGGGGGTTACTGGTGGTGCTGGGAGGAAGGGGTTTGGTGGGAATGGGAATGGGGTTAGGATGAATGGGTATGGAGGGTATTCGCCTGCGAGTGTTGCTGTGGGTGGTGGTGCTGGTGGTGCTGGTGGTAGTGTAGGAGGGGGAGGAGGATATGGTGGGTATGGGTATGGAGGGTATATGAGTGGGAAGAGGGATTGATGTGTATATTGACTGATTGATTGATTGATTGATTGAATGTATGATTGATGTGGATGATTATTGATAGATGGAGGTACAAACAAAAGATGTATGCAGATGCAGATGCAGATATACTACCAGTATAGTATCTCATGTAGATTCAACAGACATAGCAAGACAAATGAAATACAACATAACACAACGAAAATACAACACTACAACAATATAGTACACAAAATAACCCTTTTACCCACTTCCCCCATCATACATATCCCTCTATACACACACCCCCAACCATCCATCCCCCTGCAGGGAATATCTACCACCCCTGCCCCCTAATCTTCTGAATCCTCTTAACAGTCGCCTGAAACGAGAACTTAAACAACTTCCTCCACCTCTGCATCCTGAGCTGCTTCCGCACCATACCCTTCCGCACATGATACTTCTGCTTCATCAACGACTGCTTCATCTTATTCTGACCGATAGTCGTGCTCAGCGACCTCAACGCCGCCGGCAAATCCATCCCGCGCTCCGGCTCAACCGTAACCTGTCTTCCCAGCGTCGGGCCCAGCTTCAGATCGATCTTGCGCAGGGATGTAGCCGTCCGCAGGCCGTCTGTCTCGGCGGAGAGGCCTACCGCGCGCGAGAGGGAGAGGCTATCGTTGAAGGCGCGGGTGGTGCTGCCGGGCGTAGCTGCCGCATTGCTGCCGGGTGTGGTGGTGGTGGTGGTGTTGGTGTTGTTGAAGTTGAGCTTGTTGAGGATTTGGTCGAAGTCGGTGGGTTTTTGGGACGTTGATGGGGATGAGGAGGGTTGTTGTGTTTGGCGGGTCGGGGGTTGTGTAGTTGTGGTGGTGTTGGTCTTGGTGTTGGATGAAGAGGAAGAAGAGGAGGAGGCGTCAGAAGAGAAGCGTAGGCCAATTCGTGCTGGGAGGAGCTGTTGTTGCTGCTGGCTCTTGTAGAGGGTCGTGGTTGGCTTCGCCCGGAGGAGGCCGCGGGATAGGGCGCGCATGTCCATGGTGATAGTGGGTTAGGATTCGACGGATCCTAGTCAATTGATAGCTGTAGACGTGTGTTTCCCAGGATATCACGGTCCTGCCCTGGTTGAATGCTGTGGTGGAGGCGGACAGGCGTCGAGGGAATTATTGTTTGTCGGATATGGGATAAATCTCGCCCGTTGCGGGTTGCGGATCGGAAATTGCGGGCACGTGACTACGTGGTTGATTCCGCCGGGACTCCGCTACATACTCCAGTATACTTACGTTGTACACTGGACTAAGATTTGATTATCGAGGGCTTTGTTAAGTCTGACTACGTGTAGTTCTGCAGAAGCAGAACATCCCTTTCCTATTTCTCTCTCATCACTTCACCTTCTACCCCGAAACGAAAAATCACACCAAAATGTCCTCCATAACCATCGCAACCCTCCCCCGCATCAGCCGCGACGCTCTCTCAGCCCTCCTCCTCTCGACTTCCACGCCTGGCAAACTCGCCATTATCGATGTGCGTGACTCTGGTACGTATACCCACCTTCCTTCTTTACACTCCACCTCCATCCACTATACTAATAAGTTTTTAGACCACGTCGGCGGCCACATCACCACCTCCACCTGGGTCCCCAGCTCGTCACTAGACTACCGCCTCCCCGAACTCATCCGCACCCTGGCGGACAAAGAGAAGGTGGTCTTCCACTGCGCGTTGAGCCAGCAGCGCGGGCCGTCTGCTGCGCTGCGGTATGCCCGCGAGCGCGAGCGCATCCTCGGCGAGGAGGAGAGTAAGAAGCAGGAGGTGTTTGTCCTCGAGGGTGGGTTCGTGCAGTGGCAGGAGAAGTATGGGCCTGATGAGAGGTTGACGCAGGCTTGGGTGGAGGATATTTGGAGGGAGTATTAGATTTTTATATTTCAGTTATGGATAGGAGGTTGGGTTGGTGGATTTGGAAGTATTGATTGGTTTGGTGGTGATACCCTTTTTATTTGGTTCATTTATTTTCACTGGTGGGTTGGGTTGGGTAGATGGGTGAAGATTGGGGGAAAGATGCATGGTTGGCGCATTAGAATAACAGTCATATATATGGTATTTGGTTGATTGTCTGCATGTCTATATAGTATTATACATGGGCAGTATCGACAGCTACATCACAAGTCCACCGCCGAATCCAATCGGTCGACGCTTGCCGTCATTCTCGGGAACGATGGCCATCACTTTGTAGATCTTGCCCATACTACCACCGCCCTTCTCCACCAGTCTCTTCCATCCTGTCTCCAGTGTCTTGCGCTTCTCTTCATCACCAGCCTTCTTCAGAAGCTGCTGCATGCGCTCTTCGATGCCCATCGCCTGCAGGAAGTCACCCTGCTCGACCGGCCCATGCACCTCTACGCCCTCGCTAGCCTCGATGGCCGCCTCCGCCAACGCCGTGAAATCCACATCAGCACTGACATCCACCTGTCCCGGTGACGACAACGGCGGAACGTTCTTGTGCTCCTGGATACCGCGCAGGGAATTGATCGGAATGGTATTGAGAGTGCCGTAGTCCATGATCAGGGCAGCACCGGAAGAAGTGCGCTTCGCGGGGGCCGGCGCAGAAGCAGCAGCGCCCTTTGTGACCGTCCGAGGGGGCTCCGAGGCACCGCCGATGCGGCGCGCAAAGTCAGCTGCGTAGATACGACTCTCCGGGCTGACTTCGATGGTGGATCCCGGCTGGTATTTGAGGGCGCGGTAGCGCGGAGAGATCTCCGGGATGACTAGAGAGGATGGCGTCGATGCTTTAGCGAGAGTGAGCTTGAACTCGGGCTCGCCTTCGATGTTCTCTTCCACGGCTTTCGGGTTCAAGGTGACTAGGAGTTCGCGCCACTGGGGAGTGTTGGCTGGCTTCAAGGGCTGGTGTAGTTTTGCTGGGCCGGTGGGAGTCATGATTTCCTTCTGCTCAGGCTGGTTCTCTGGAGAGGGAGGGATGGATTCAAAGGCGTGGATGGGGAGGGCATCGAAGAATTCGTGGGCGAATATGAAGGGGGTCTTTTCTTCTTCTGTAGGCAATCCATCAGTCCGGTGTTCACGCGCAGATAGCAGTCATGCTTCCATACCATGGGGCAACAGTCGGATATCCTCCACCCAAACGATCGGGACATCAAAGTACTTGCATGTACTCTTGTGTCCGATATCCGTTTCCTCCATGACTGCATCCCCGCACAGCAATTTCTTCTGCACTTCCCGCAGCGTGGCACTGGCTTCCACCAGATATATCGCCTCTATACTCGACGAGAACATCTTGAAGTTGCGGAATGTCTACCTCCGTCCGAATCAGTAATCATAAGACGTCGCAAAGTCAGGACATCTGGACAACTCACACGCAACATGTCATCCATCAATGTACCCTTCCCCGGTCCAACCTCCATCAATTGCACTCCGCTGCGCTTCCGTCCCTGCGCCATCCATTCCGCAATTGTCCAGATCCCCACCAGTTCCCCAAAGACCTGCGATATCTCGGGAGAAGTGACGAAGTCTCCTTTCTTGCCAAATACTTCGCCATGGCCTTCTGGTCGCGTCGTGTAGTATCCTCCTTCAGGGTTTGTGAGGACCTGGCGCATAAAGGCGGCGATAGGAACGGGTCCGGTTACCTGGTGGAGGGCTGATTAGATTGGCTCAATGACAATTGGATTGATGTCGTACTTTGATCGCATTGGCAAGAGTCTGTGCTAGCGGTGTCGACCATTTTCTTGTTTCAGAGGCAGATGTGGAAGATGTGGATGTAGTTGAGGACCATCGTTGCGATTTGAGGCAGAGGGTCTGGTTGGGATGTCTTCTGAGGAGCTGCCTCACGGCGCGCCTCGTTGCGTGCCTCATCTCGATGTTCTTCAATTGAAGGGTAGCGAGTTAATTCATATGTCTAGTTGATTCGGTATTGTTAAGGAGACCCTAATTTGAGGGGTTCTGGATCAACATCCAGCAAATAATTCTGTGAAGCTCTCCAACTTCTCCGCAAAACTTCCGCACACGTGATTGCGTTCTTATCATATCAGCTGCCGATAATCCGCTCCAGTCAGTTATTTGATCTGTCTACGTCCAAAGCGTATTCGTCCAGAAAAAAAAAATAAAGTATTTCTTCATATCGTACAGGTCTTCATTCTAAGTAGCCAAGCAATTGCAGAACCATGTAATCCGAAAAGAAATAAATCCATCCTGCCTGATCAGCAGAACAGCCTGTATCAAAAAACAGCGTATTTTCAGATTGAACCACTGATGGCTGCATTACCGCCTGCCCCGGTTTCGCTGGTTCTGCTGAGGTGCATCGACCATCATCTCATCGCTATAGAGGCCTGTTTCTTGTGTATTCTGTGCTCCACCCCTTGCCTTCCGACCGCCCCGGTTTCTGCGATTGTTCCCCCTGGATGGGCCTTGGCCAGCCTGGTTCTGATCATTGAATCCCCACCGTCCGTCCTGGACAGCTGCATCGGCCAAGCGATGAGAACGTCGATCGCGGTCCGCTTGCTCGCGGAGGTCACTGAACGATTGGGAGTTCTGTACGGCGGGCTGGGCATTGGCGCGCTCGAACAGATCGGGGTTCGCAGGTTGCTTTAGGTGGAATGAGAGAATCCGACCGTCGGCCTGATCGATTAGAATAAATCATTGATAGTTGGACGAGTGACTTACCCTCTGGTTGTGAAAGTTGGCAACGGCACCCTCTGCGGCCTGTCTCTCTGCAAATGTAATCTCCGCTGTGACAACAGGATGTTGCGCAGTGACCCAGCAGCGCAATATCGGGCCGGAAACAGGTTCCAGAGCTGATTGAATATCGGCCGCCGTAGTCCCTGGCGCGAAGTTGCTACCGACAACAACGAATGGCCCGGACCCTTTTCCCTTGATCGACAGTCCACCTCCATTTCGCACGTTAGCCTGGCCGCTCGCGGGATTGAGCGCAGAAAGAAGGCGGTTCTCATCAGGACGGCGCTTGTTCGACGGCCTTGCGTTCTGTCGGGCACCCTGTCGCGCGGGCGCTGGGATTGGAGGAGTTGTTTTGGCCGGTAGAGTAGCCGATGCGGAGCGCTGAATTTGGCAATACATCGAATTAGTTATGCGAAAAAAATGAGCAAGCTTGCAGAGGTCCTGATCTCCTCACCTTCGCTACTCCGATCCGACTTGCCAGGCTGCCTGGCTTCACATTTTGCGTCTTCCCTGTCGGTTTCGTAGGCGGGTTGGTCGTTTTCTTCTTGCTCAGGAGCTTGTTTGCTAGTTCTTCGTTGCGTCTTCTCTTGCGATCTGAATCAAGCCTGTTAGTCTCAAGCGCTCTGCGTGGGTGAGTCGGGGAATGATGGTCATACCGGCTTGGATGATCGCATCGAAGGAAACGCTATCCTGGCTCGCGGCCATGGCGGTAGAGCTTTAGGGACTGAAAGTGAGGGTTAAATGACAATAAGTCTAGAATCAATGAAGTATAGAATCAATTGAGCTTCCAGTGTAACTTAGTTACCAATGATGAGAATCTGTCGGGTGCTTGAACTGGTGGACAGCAGGAGGAGCTGACAGAACGGAAGGAATTCGAGCTCCGCCATTAGCTCCGCTCCCGTCATCTCGCCCGCCGCTGACTTTCTGTATGCATCTCGACTTGAATAAGCATAATACTAGCAGTATAGTGAGTTAAGTACCAAACCCCGTCTCTAGTGTATTTAAGAGTGAATACTCCAGTGACTGAAAAAGAGCCAACATCTCCCCCATCTGGTAAAATACTAGAATCCTCGGCCCGGTAGCATCCAACACGCATCACTCATTAGCTTCACTCAGATGGCATCACTGCAAGGGGACGAACGGAGACGTGACCCTCATATGCTTTCAGAGCTCTTACTGCTTTTAAAAAGACTACATAACTATGATAATCCCTAACAATGGGCAGTGCAACCCATTAACATCGACGGCATAGTGCCTGATCTGTGCCGGGTCTCAGAGCTCACATACTTCTGTCTTACCCACAATATTCCTAAGCAACTCTGGATGATGGCGCAACCAGCTTCAAAGACAGTCAGGACTGGCGACTTGTACGATGACATGACAGACTTCGGAGACTTTGCGAGCACATCAGATGAAGAGATCGACGTGGAAGAATATGCTGAGCCTTGGGAAAAGTATGATCCCGAAACACAAAACGCTTAATATCCAATTTGCCTTGGAGAGATTCTGAATGAAAGATACCTGATTGAGCACAAACTCGGTGCTGGTGGTTTCTCTACTGTCTGGATGGCCCTTGACCTCCAGGAAAACAAAGATGTCGCTGTCAAAGTCTTTCGTAAGGGCGACTTCGGAGACATCGAGCTACGCATACAAGATGAAATCGTTCGGAGCGTGCAGGACAGATCCCACCTTGTGATCTATTCAGATACTTTTATACTAAAGGGAAGCGATGGCCACCATAGGGTTATGGTGTTTCCTCTGATGGGGCCGTGTCTTGACCGTTATACAGTGACAAACTTAGCTATAAGTACTCACATGTCAGCTGCGAAGCAATTGTTAAAGGCATTGGAAGCTTTGCACAACGCTGGCATTGTGCACCGCGGTAAGTCATTCTACACATTTCATATCGTCGCCATCTGATGAATCTCCGTCAAGATCTGAGCGAGAGTAACTGCCTATGGGGGATGGCGCCTCTTCACAATCTTAGCAGGACTGCTAAATATGAACTACTCACTTGGCCATTAAAGATAACCATCCAAGATATCGAGCTCTGGAAGCCTGAAGAGTTGGTGTGGCCCATACAGGTCCCTGAAACTCTGCGCACAGAAGATTTCTATCTCGCTGACTTCAGTCTGGCCATGAAGGTTGGCGATCCCGTGGCTCAACCCGGCGATCCACCTCTGTGTTTCTGCTCCCCGGAGCGTCTCCATGGAAAAGCTCCAAGCTTTGCCTGCGACATGTGGAGCTACATGGTCAACTTTGTTGAACTTTACCAAGGGGGACGACCATTCCATGATGGGTACATAGGCGGAGTTCTGACAACTATTACCGCCCGTCTGGGCCCACTACCAGAGCAATGGAAAGGATCTTACATCTATGATGATTGTCTGGATTCCTGGTATGATCAGAATCGGACGCCCGATACGAGTAAGACCCTCGCATCAGAGCTTGCGCGCTATCGACCCGATGCCGACCTGGCTGAACGAGAACTTGTGCTCTCCATCATGCAGAAGGTATTCCTATACTCGCCCGAGGAGCGTCTGACTGCGACGCAGCTTCTGGCCGATCCTTCATTCAAGGCTCTCATGGCTCGGTATGGTTGTTGATGCTGTGATATGAAGTTGTGACCTGATAGACTTTGCTCTTTATTCTCGCGTCTCAGGCCTAACATGCTGGGGATCTGAATTCAAGGGGATGGCGGTAGGCTTTGGCCTCTGCATATACTAAAAAACAAGCCTTATCTTCTGGGGTAGACTTAGCGCAGGAAAAGGGTAGGGAGAAGGTGTGGCATGAACGACGCTGTGTGCCAGTAGCACAGCTCCGTGATACTATTGATTGTTTAGTAACTGTCAGCTATCAGGAAGAAACACCTTAGTCTAGTTTATAGTATGACCCAAACAAGAAGCTTGCTTCGCCAGCACCACCTGAAGCCTCAGGCAGTCTGCAATATTCTTTATTTAAGCTTAACCCTGATACAAGAGAAGCCTCAATTATGAAACAGAAATAGTAAGGATTTGGTTGAGGAGCCAATCAAAGTATATCCCCGACACTTTGTTTGTACATTCACAGCCGAGATATTTCAGGAAAGCGCCATGCAGGTAATACAGGCAGAGAAGCAGCCACTCAATTCAATGCCTGCCTTGTCCAACATTGCAAATGCACCCCGGCATGGCCCGTCTCGTATGTACTTTGGCATCGCCTGCTGCTGGTTATTTACCAACTGGGGACCCCACTGTCCAGATCATTCCCCCGCAAAGTATCTTTCTGTGCAACTTCTGCTCCGAGCTTCTGATTCACTGAGTCAATATCAGGCACCTGAATAGCACAGCCATGAATCCCGAGGGTTCAAGCAGTGGCCGAAGCAGACGTCGTCAGTCGTTGTCGTTCTCGTCTCTTCGTCCGTCCATGAGCCGGAATAGGTAGGCGAAATATATGATCCTGTGGATTCTGCAGGCTGACAGATAGCATGAAGAACTAGACGACCATCAACACCTCCTCCCACCACTTGCGAAGAAAGCGCCCACTACCCCGTCTTTGATCCGCAAAACCCGCGGCACAACCCTTCGCTTGCATCTACATCATGGCAGCAGTGGATGCAAAGCCTGCCGAAGAAGTCCATGGGGAAAATGCACTCTTTGTCCTTCCGACCTAGGTTTCGCAGACGTCCCATTCCTCGTCCAAGCCATAACGATGATATACCTAGTCTTTGGTCATCCACGGATTCAGCCAAGGGCTCCTCCGACCAGCAGGGCACGCTCTACTCGTCGACTGTGTCAGAGGCTAGCACAGAGGAAGATGTTGAGTTTGGTACTGACCTACAGCGCATCAGCTGCAACTACCCGCCGGATGGCAACATGGACAGGTATTTACGGAGTCTGCCGGGGCCATTTGTATGGGAAGATGGTACCGTTTCCTCAGAGTCGACCGTTGTGCCTCATCGGGAGACTGAAGAATTCCTTACTTCGACCTTCTCAAATGCTCGGTCAACGTCGAGCAATAAAGATAGGGGAACGGTGTCTCATAATGTGGCGTCTACAGATGCTATCGGAGGAGACAATCCTCAGCCTATGATTCCGAGCTCATCCTCCCGCAATCCTAACGAGTCGTACTTTTCGCAAGCAGCAGGCAGCGAGACCGAGGGTCTGTGCATCGCAGTTCCTGTTCCTTCCAACAGTGGCGCTTCTGAGCCACTGTTGCCGTCTGGAACAGTCGATAGTGACAGGGATGGTGCGGCCAGCGCGAGCAGACCCAGCAATCTTTCGGTGCCAATCGTCGACACAAGCAGCGCCAGACCTGTTGGCACGAGCGCCAACATGGCACCCTACGTCTTCAACTCACAACCCATAGATGCTGAGCTGGCTATAGAGTCTTTGGAGCTGTGCCAACGGCTAGAGCTGGGTGAAAGTCATGATGGAGAACAGGACGTGATATACGAAGCTTGCGAAAATGCTAGACATTCAGCCAGTCACTCACCGAGGGCAGTGGATTCGACCAACAGCTGCTCCCCAGCAGCGCCATCAGCTGAAATTTCCGAACCGTCGAATCATGGTGGTGAAATACCTCGCATTACGATTGATATGCGCGTTACTTCTGGACAGCTGCAGGAAGGCGCCGGTAATCGCATTGTCCGCTGCATTGATTCGACAGAGAATATGCCCTTAATCCCGGCTAGAGCAGAGGATCGTCTGAGTGAACATAGTACCGATGCGTCGGTCTTGCGCAGCCAATCGTCTCAGGACGATCTGGCGTCGCTGCTAGCATTGCGAGACGAGTACTTTCTAGTGGACAAATCCAACGACCTCCGTCCGGATAGAGGGAACAACGCCACCAAAGCGGAGCGCAGCTTCAGCGGTGATGGCTGCTTGTACAGTGGGCCAGGGCTCGACCGCAACTCGTCGGCCAGAGTGCATGATATCCCCGAGATCATTGGTCCGCGCACGCCCGTCCAGGTACGTGGCACACGGCCGTTCCGACGCGAGTATAACACCAGTGATTCAGATGAGTACCTTATGACATACCCGGCTATCGACAGACACTACTTTTCGTGAGCCCATGCTGACGTGAGTGATGTCGACGCCGCCTTCATTTCACTTTACATCTTACCTAACCTGTGACGTTCCTTATCACACCTTGCTGTTCAGTTTGGAAGTGTATTTTAGTGATACATCCAGGTATTTTGGATATCGAGACATCTCGCTCCAAAACCTGAATTACACGAGGTTCTATATGCACATTATAAGACATTATACCAGGCTCCATACTAGCCCAGCCGTAGCGTAAACCCAGCCCCCTGTTCCCCCGTCTCCCCACCGCTCTGACCCCCAAACACACTCGCAAAGTCCAGCTTCGGAGCCTCCTGCCCCCGCTTCGGTGCCTCGGGAGTCTCCCTCCGTCTGCGCTTCTCCATACCCGCCTTGGACGGAAACGTCGGGAACATCTCCTTCGGCTTCGGCCGAGGATCCTCCTTGAAATAGCGATGCGCCAAACACTCCTTCGTCGACATCCGCACCCCGGGATTCAACGCCAGCAACGACGAGAGCAGATGTAGCCCAGCGTTCGTCAAAAACGGGAACTTGGTCCGAGGCAGTAAAGGCGGGTTTCCACCCGCCGTAGTAATAGATGCAGTAGGCGGCAGCCGTAGTGACTTGGCGTTCGGTAGTGATCTGAACTCAGGCCAGATCTGGGGTGTGGGCGGGCCGGTGAGGGCGAATATCTATACCACAATCATTTATCAGTCAACGTGAACCTTAACAGAGTAATGGGTTTTGGAAAGAGGATTGGAGGGGGGGAGGAGGGGTTAGGCTCACCTTCGAAACCTGCTCGACCTCATTCTTCCCCTGCAATAGCGGTTCCTTGGTCAACAATTCCCCCATGATACAACCCACACTCCACATATCGATCTCGGTGCCGTATTTCTCTGCCCCCAGGAGGAGTTCCGGGGCCCGGTACCAGAGGGTCACGACGAGCTGGGTGAGTTTCGGGGGCGGATCGCCATAGTAGCGGGCCATGCCGAAGTCGGCGATTTTGAGCTCGCCGCGATTGTTGAGGAGGAGGTTGGAGGTTTTGAGGTCGCGGTGCATGATCCATTGGTCGTGGAGGAAGTTGAGGCCCGAGAGGAGTTGGAGGAGGAGGGTTTTGATTTCGCTGGGGAGGAAGGGTTCGGGCATTTCGTCGAGTAGGGTTTTGAGGTCGTGTTCGTGGAAGTCCATTACTAGGTAGATTCTGTGGATTTTGGTTAGGATTGCGTGTGATGGGATGGATGAAGGGTGGAGGGAGGTATACTCGTCTAGTTTCGTGCCTGTTACTACTTCTCGTAGGTAGACTATGTTTTGGTGTCGGGCTTCGAGGAGGGTTTGGATCTCGCGGAGTCCTGTTACTGGGAAGCCGTCTGGGGAGTTGTCCATTTTGAGTTTCTTCAGGGCTACTACTTCGCCCGTGGTTATGTCTTTGGCGCGGCTGACGAAGCCGTAGGAGCCTTCTTCGATGTGGTTGAGGCGTTCGAAGTTGGTGACGTTTCGACAGGGTCCCCATTCTTGGACTGGGAAGGTGAGGATGTTGGGTTCATTGTTGGTAGTGGTGGTATTGGATGTTGTTTGTTGTTGGTCTGGGATGTGGTCGTTTGAGAGTCGGCGACGCTTGGTGGGTGGTGCGCTGCTATCTGTATCAGCTTGTTGGGCTTGGAGCTTGGCTTGCTCGTCCAGCTGGCGCTGTTTCTCGGCTTTGGCGCGTCGCTTTTCTTCCTTTTCGCGCTTGCGCTGGGCCAGGATGGCCTCCGTTTCGGGGTCGTCGTCGGTGGCCCATCTGGATTTGGAGGACATGCTGCGATGGCCTGGATTGGCGGGGAGCGAATGACAATGGATGGATGGGATTGTGGAGAGAGTGCCGGATGCAAAGCAGCAGCTGTAGACAAGCTGGACGCGGACGGAATTGCGGCGAGAAAGTGATGCTTGATTGGTCGGATGACGCTATCGGCGAGAACAGAGTGACTAAGCCCGATTGGGTTGATTTCAAAGCGTCCCCGCCTCGTCCCGCATCAACTACATTCGAGGGGCATTCCATGAGAATCCACCGTTTCTTTTTTCCCTCATTCTTCTACGGTGACACTCACATGCGCATTGGTGTTGTAGTACTTTCTATCCAGACAAGATGATTGAACCGTTTCAGGTGGGCTCTTGCCAGGGTTGACGATGCATCTCGTGAGGGGAATGCCTAACTAATCGCTTAGACTACCTTTGCGGTCCCGATGACCTGCGAGGGCTGCGTCAAGGATGTGTCCGCATCGCTGAAGAAGTTGGAGGGTAGGCGCATCCGCATTGCAACCCTGTGCGCGAGCTGACCGGTCAGGCATCAACAAGGTCGAGGCAAACCTTAAGGACCAGCTAGTCTTCATCGAGGGGACGGCACCACCCAGCTCGATTGTCTCCGCTATCCAAGCTACGGGACGGGATGCCATTCTACGAGGCAGTGGCACCTCCAACAGTATGTCTATCACCTGCCTACTCCAGGCAGTACACCGAGGCTGATGGCACCATTGCAGGTTCCGCGGTGTGTATCTTGGAAACCCACTCGAATAGCGTCTCCAACAAGATTCGTGGTCTGGCACGCATGGTCCAGGTCTCCTCCAACATGACCCTGGTCGACCTGACAATCAACGGCCTTGCTCCCGGCAAGTATTATGCCACGGTACGCGACACAGGGGATATCTCGCAGGGTGCTGGATCCACCGGCGGCATTTGGGAGGCCGTCAAGGCTAAAGTGCTGGGTTCGGAGCCAGTCAAGGAACCCCGCGGCATTTTTGGATCGGTTGAGGTGAACGACAAGGGCCGGGGCAATGTATTTTTGGATCGCCCGGTAGCGGTGTGGGAGATGATTGGGCGCAGTATGGTAGTGTCGAAGAGCCAGGAGGGGCCCTTTCGACAGGAAGACCCTGACACTCTAGTGGGAGTGATCGCTCGAAGCGCGGGGGTGTGGGATAACGACAAGATGGTGTGTTCCTGCTCCGGTAAGAATGTGTGGCAGGAGCGGCAGGAGCAGGTGGCCCAGGGAATGGCCTAAAGGGGAAGAAGAGAGGGAAATGAGGATGTGGTTGGAGGAAGCTAGACTGGCGGGTGTGTCTATGTATAGCAAGCAGTGCGGTCAGTGGTTAAAGTGTGCATAGTACTAGGGATAGGATACCCACGATCGATGATCGATCAGCCCTGAGATAAGGAATACGAGCAAGCATGAGTGACGATATTCTAGCGCATTGCCGAACTTTTAGATAGAAACGCGTGGGCGAAGGTTTCCAGAAATAGAGACCGGACCAGGGTACCCATTGCATCACCGGTAGTTAGTGTTTGTAGTGGTTGGTGGTGGTGGTGATGGTGGATGGGGATAGAGATGGACGAGGGATCCAATAGTAGACACCCCAGACTCAGGTGACCGACGAGTATGCAGGAGAGCTGCACGACAGAGCGACTAGTCGAGGGGACTACGGTGGCTCGCAGCTAAAGATAGGTCAGCCAGCAGCGTCTACAGGACTAGTCGTAGTCTAGTCACAACGGTCGTCGAGGGGTTGATGAAGGCGGGGGGGGGGGGAGAGAAATCAAATGGGATGGTTAGTTAGTTGCTTAGTGGATAGTGATTAATGCTGGTGATTATTGCACCAACCGCGAGGAAACCATCAGCGAGGGTCGGAGAGGGACCCCAGGCAGGAAATCGGTACCGAAGGGGAGTTCGGCCATTTCCTGCAAGCGCCGTGGCGGGGACACCCAAAAGTTAATCATCCCCTGAGAGAGTGGAAAAAAAAGAAGGATTGGGACAACGTGATGCGGATTTTGAAGCAGACTGTGTGATGAATTCTGATTTGTCCTGGTTATTTTCTTTTCCCTCCTGTCCCGGAGGTCCTCTAATGGTATGTATCATACTATATCTTGTAGGGTGATTGATTGATTTGATTGAATTCTTCAGTGACATCGGAGATTGCCCACATTCCCCACTCGGCATGGGTTGCGGAACGGGCCATTGACCCATTTCAGCCCAACATCCAGTCTTCATCTATCCATGGCTGGTGGCAAGGAGTAGTAACGAGATAGTGAGGTAGTATCGAAGTAATCTGGTGTAAATTAAATGGTATCGAATTTTATCTTGTATCTCCGAAAGTAAAAGACAGAAAAAGAGTGTGTATGTATGTATGTGAGTACTGTAAGGTACGGGCGTCAACTGGAAGAGAACCCCGACCAGCAGCCAATCAAGGGGGAAGAGATGGATCTTGGCTGCACTGTGATGAAGTGCCAACCCCCTGCAGGAGCCAATGATCATCGCGCACACCGGATTGGCACCCTGAGCACTGACCGGGGGTGGCTTGCTATCAGCCATTCATCCGCCAGTTTCCCCCTCGGGCGTTACGAACGGGGCAGTTGTGACAGTTCCTGTTTCTTTTCATCACCAATCATTCTACTCTACTAGTCGACTCAGTAGATACGCTGTAAGAGTCTAAGAGTATTCCTCTTGGCTACACCGACTGACCAGACAAGCTTATACTTCTCTCCTCTCTCTCTCTCCCTCCCCATCCATGCCCGATGCCATGCCTAAGTGTCATTAATTTACTGCTGCTCACCCCTCCCTGGTCTTCTCCATCTTGACCGGCATGACGGTCACCATTTACACCTACTACTCTTACTGCTGCTGCTGCTGCTGCTAAACTAACTAGCTCCCCTGTCGGCTGCATCGTCTCTGCACGCTAATCCCACCCCCTTCCCTGTTTCTTCCTTTTTGGCATTTACATGTGGATTTGACTTCTTCCATCGCGATCCGTACCTCTTTCTCTCCCGTCCCGCTGGAATTCAATTATCTCAGGGCAACACACCACAACCCACATTCCCTAATCCACAACCCTATCTGCAAACTCAAGAACAGACCCGTTTTTACGAATCTCTGTCAATCCTTCCCTCGAATCACCTCACATTGCCCGTGCTCCCCTCATCCCATCACTCATCACATCCAGCCAACGGCCCTCCTTGCGTCTTGGCTGGTCTCCGGTCCCTCTTAGCGGCTGGGTCGCTGGATCCGTGATCTAATTATATATCCGATCCAACTCTCGGCTTTCGACGCTTGGATAGTGCGCATGGTCTATCACTCCTTCACGCTGGTTATCGCTCTCTCGACTAGCAGCCACACCGACTGCCGCGTGCCGACCCCAACCGGCTTACCCTCGATTGGATCCCCTTTACGGCATCGTCCCAGTGGACTCGCTGCCCCTCGTCACATCCCTGCTCCAGCGTGGCCAGGACCCAGCCATTGCGTCTTGGCCATAGCCAGTCGCATACATATACACTCGCTAGTTGCTGCGGCGTCTCGCCTCGCCCAAGTCAACTAGGCCAGTGGCCGTGCTACGGACAACTTGACCATGTCCTTGAAGCAGGTACTTATGCCAGCCTTAGGGTTTAGGATGATGCTAATGTGACTAGGAAATCGAAACCTGGGTGCAGGCCCTTGACCACTACGATAATCAAGAATATGATGAAGCTCTTAGGGTCTTTGGTGCGATTGCAGAGACCTCCAAGATCCTCTTCAACTGCGGGGTCATCTATGCCACGTTAGGTGAGCATGAAAGAGCGGTAGGTTCCCTGATTAACTCTCTGGTCATTACTGACGAGAGCAGGTTGAGTGCTACCAGCGGGCTGTCGGCCTGGACCAGTATCTGGCTATTGCCTACTTCCAAGAGGGAGTGTCCAACTTTCTTCTGGGGGACTTTGAGGAGGCATTGGCTAATTTCAATGACACGCTGCTCTACCTCCGGGGCAACACCTCCATTGACTATGAGCAGTTGGGCTTGAAGTTCCGGCTCTTCTCCTGTGAGGTGTTGTTCAATCGGGGCCTGTGCTATATCTACCTGCAGCAAATGGGACCTGGCATGCAAGATCTACAATATGCATCAAAAGAAAAAGTCACGCCCGACCACGACGTGATCGACGATGCTATTCGTGAGCAAGCGGCGGTAGGTCAGCTTCCTCTTGTGAGAGTGATGGTACTGACGGAACAGGGCTACACGGTCTTTTCGATCCCGGTGGGGGTGGTGTACCGACCCAACGAGGCCAAGGTCAAGAACCTCAAGGCAAAAGACTACCTGGGCAAGTCCCGGCTGATTGCCGCATCCGAGCGCAGCAGCATGCCGTCCGCAGCCAGCGAGGAGCTCAAGCGGACCATGTCCATGCTGGACCACCGAAAGCCAGAGACGCTGCCGTTTGCCACGTCACACCTGGTGCATAAAAACCTGCAGAGTCGGAGCCGTCAGCAATCGGAGCCGCCTCTGAACCGTAATCTCTTCCCTCCTACTCCCCCGCCGGACGCAGACAAGGCGAGTACCAACAGCTCCACAGGTAGTCTCGCGATGAACAGTCGACCGGGGTCCATCCGAGCAGCGCGGCCACCCCGGCTCGACCTGACGGCGGGCCACAGTACAGAAACGCTGGTCGAGAAGCCGCGGATCGGCACGACGCGCACGGCGTCCGAGTCGCGGGCAGGTCCGGGTCGACCGGGGCCGGGGCCGGGGACAGGGCCAGGGCCACGAGGGCCGGGCGAGACCCATGGCCATCGACGAGGCATGAGTGATACGGGGTTTGCCCCTACGGTGAGCTCGGAGGAGTCGTATTCGGGCACCCGATCGATGCCAGCGGGCGCCACCTGGCGCCGTCAACAAGAGCGGTATATTGACGAGCAAGAAGAGTATGCCAGTGATGCATACGAGGACAACGGACCGGACGGTGAGTTTGAGATCATGGGAACGCGGCCGCAGGCGTCTCCGAACCGGGGATCGCGGCGGGGGACGTCACGACGGCCGGAGGTGCGCAAGTTCCGAGTGAAGGCGCACTCGCGAGAAGATACACGGTACATCATGATGGAGCCGACGATTGAGTTTAGGGAGTTTGAGAGTCGGATCCGGGACAAATTTGGGTTCCGCACACTGCTGCGAATCCGCATGCAAGACGATGGCGATATGATTACGATGGTAGACCAGGAGGATCTAGACTTGTTGATGGCGGGGTCGCGCGAGGTGGCACGGCGAGAGGGGAGCGAGATGGGGAAGATGGAGGTATACACCCACTTGACTGCAAAGAGAGAAGGGATCGTGCTAACTATAACAGATATGGGTTGAGGAGCGAGGCGTGATTTAGGATTGCATTAGCGTATACCCTGGAGTTTGGTTGATATGGTATGGTTGTATGGCTGGTATGGATGATATGAATTATGACAATGCATAAACACGTAAGCATACATCACGTGATTACACCTCTACGTAGTACGTAGCTATGTAGATACAAGCCAGCTCGCACCAACAAACCACAACCCCGAAGTGTATATATCAACACAGCACAATGACCGACCTCACCCCCACATTCACCCAGCTGGTGCACAGCAAATCGCCGACCTCGAAACTCTCCACAGGGTACATGACGACCGAAATCGCCGACGAATTCCTCAAAGAAGCCTACCGAATTGTATACCCTCCCATTCACCCTCTTCTCAATATCCCATCCACCACATACTAATACCTACGAAATGGAATAGAACTCCCACATAACATCCCTACTATCCTACCTCCAAACCATCCGCCCCTCGTACCTCTCCCTAAACAACACAAAACCAACCACCACCAGCACCACCAGCACCACCCAAAACAAACCGAATGAAATACTAGACGACTCCGCCCGCGACACCATAACCACCACCACCTCATCCTTATTATCCAACCTCTCCACATCAATAACCACCCTCAGCGCAGCAGAGAATCTCCGCCAGGAGACAGTCTCGCGAAGCATTACCCAACGCTTCGGGAAGGGAGTATTTGCCCGTTGGGCTAGCGGAGCCACTCTTACTTCCCCTGGGGATGGCAATGAGGGCAAAGAAGCAGAGCAGATTGTTGAGGAGGAGAAGGAAAAAGTGTTGAAGGGGGTGAGGGAAAGCGTGCTATTCTATCTTAATAAGAAGCTGGGGAGTGTGGTTAATGAGCAGAGGGATATGGTCGAGAAGAGGATTGAGAGGGTGAGGGAGAGGGAGAGGAGTGTGCTTTATAAGAATACTTCGTCTTCTTCTTCGGTTGGGGGTGGTGGTGTTGGGTGGGGAAGGGTGGATGGGGAGTGGAGGGGGGATAATACTACTGGAACTGGTGTGGTGAAGATGGATGAGAAGGAGGTAAAAGAGATCGAGAAACAGTTAACACCGGAGCAATTGCAACTGTTTGAGGAGGAGAATGATTCCCTGGTGAGGTATTTTGAGGATGTGGTGGGGAAGGTTCAGTATGATATACCCTTATCCTTTCTCTCTATTGATTTATCTGTTGGGGTATGGCTAATGATTGAATGTGGGGTATGTGTGTAGGAACGCAGAAAAATCCCTCCTCGAGATATCCTCTCTCCAGCAAACTCTCGTGTCGCATTTATCTACCCAGGAGGAATATATCTCGCAGCTGGTGACGGATGCGAGTAATACCGAGGCGAATATCGGTCAAGGGAATAAGGAGTTGAAGCGGGCGACGGAGAGACGGAGTACGGCGCAGGCGGTGTTTTGGGGCACCGTGGGGTTGTGTACGTGGTTGGTTGTTTGGGATTTGGTTTTTTAGATATTATTTAATTTATTGTTCAAGTTGTGTTGTTTATATTTTGTGTTGGGGTTGTCTACCAGTCTAGCTGTACCTTACATATATCCATTCCATATCCATCATCATGTACTACCTGTGGTATATTATGAAGTCTCCCGCACTACGCTGTCCACTGCCTCGGCAAAGTAGTCCAGGTTATGTGTGTTTAGGCCTGCCATGGAGATACGGCCGTTCTTGGTCTGTCACGTCGTTAGTATATGCCCACATGGTGATATCGAGGGGATAGGAAGAGGGGGAATACCATATAGACATGCCACTTCTCCTTCAACACCTTCACTTGCGTCTCAGTCAACCCGGTGAAACTGAACATGCCAATCTGATCCGTAATGTGGTTCCAAGTGCCCGGCGTGCCCTTCTTCTCCAGGCGCTCCCTCAATCCCTTGCGCATCTCCGCAATGCGACCACTCATCGTCTTCAGATCCTCCTCCCACTCCTGGAACAGACCCTCATCGTTCAACACCCGGCTGGCAATGCGCGCACCGTACGCTGGCGGATTACTGATCTCACTGCGCTGCAGAATGGCGAGCTGCGACGCGATATGCGCATTCGCCTGGGTGGCCTCGGCACCCGGGGCGGAGACGAAATGGAAGGCGCCCGTGCGCTGACCATACAGACCAAAGTTCTTGGCGAAAGATTGCGCGACGCACAGCTCGAAGCCCTGCTCGACGAAGTAGCGCACAGCCCAGGAGTCGCGGGCGAGGTCACCCGAGGCGAAACCCTGGTAGGCGCAGTCGAAGAAGGGGAAGTGGTTGCGCTCGCGCATGACGACGGCGACGTCCTTCCATTGGTCTTGGGTCAGGTCGACGCCGGTGGGGTTGTGGGCACAGACGTGCAGGAGGATGATGGAGCCGCTGGGAGCGTCGCGAAGGGCGGAGAGCATGCCAGAGAAGTTGAGGCCCTTGGTTTGCGGGTCGAAGTAGGGGTAGTTGGCGAGGGAGAGGTTGACGTTGGTGAAGATTTGGTTGTGGTTGGCCCACGTTGGGTTGGAGAGGTAGACGGTGGGCTTAGGGTTGGAGGGGTGGAATTTGGAGAGGAAGAGAGCGCCCAGGTGCACGGCACCGGTGCCGGAGATGGTCTGGAAGGTGCATACCTAGGAGATGTTAGATGGATAGAATCATAGAAGGGATGGGGGGGGGGGGGGGGGATGCTTACGCGGTTCTCGCGAATGGCAGGGCTGTCTGCGCCAATCATCAACTTCTGGGCGGCAGTGGTGTAGTCGGCGAGACCTTTGATGGGGAGGTATTCGTGATTGAGGGCGGGGTCATTGCGAACGAGCTCGTCGGCCTGTCGGAGTTGGTTAGTTGAGATGCTGCGGGGATGGAGGGAGATAATGATGTGCAGATGGGGAATTGAGGGGTAGCGAAAGTACCTTCTTGACGACGGGCAGGATCCAGGGTTTGGCATTGTTGTCGCGGTACGCGCCAATGACTAGATCAACCTTCTTGTCGGAGGAATCCTGGCGAAAAGCCTGAGCCAGACCGAAGAGAGCATCTTCTGGCGCGGCGGGCACGACGGCGGTGGAAAAGACGGAGGGGGTGGTAGAGCCCATGATGTGCGAGGAGAGAGAAGCAAGACGGGAGCGAGCGGTAGAAGTAGAGGTAGCAGTGGAGGAAGAGGATGGAGAGGATGGAGAGGATGAAGAAGTAAGGGAAAAAGAAGAAGATGGAGAAGAGGAAGAAGAGGAAAGGGGCGACATGATGTATTGTCAGGTCAAGAAGAGGTCACACCACCTGATTCCCTCAATCACTGCTGCTTGCGTTCACCGGCGCCAATAAAGTGAACTTGACCGAAACAGATAAATCCCGATGGATACACCGGAGCTGGGCAGATGCAGGACAAGGCAAAAAAAAAGAAAAGGGAAGGGACGGGACGGAGTAGAAATGGACACGATCGGGGATAGGTTCGGAGGAGGGAGTACGGAGTACATATAGTAGTCTGGGAATGTTCTTGATCTTGAGACCGAGATAAAGGTTGAGGGTTGGAGAATGAGCCGAGGATGTGGCAGTTGCTGGCCCGAATAATGAGTTGAGCAGATGATAATGATGACGACGCATTCACATGACCGCAGAAGAACTAGATATTTGAAGCATTTATCTTGACCTCTATCTGTATACTATCTATTTAGTCTATCCTTGAAGATACATTCCAGCTATACTGCAGTTATCGACATGAGCAAGGATTAGATGTTTGGCGGACAGAATTGCCCGAGCTGGCCTGACATCATCATATGACAGATCCCCTTATGTTTTCTACAAACGAAGTATGAAGGTACTAGTAAGGAAAGCATACAAATATCCCTCATCTCTCCGATTTATCTTCTTCGTTATCCTCTACTCGATAGTACCAAGACAGTCAGTAATAGTATAATACTTCCCACTTGAGTAATTCCATCCACCATCATATCCCTAAAGGTACTTACTTAAAATAAGTAGAACTGCTTAAAACGCGGCATTAACCACCAATCACAACTTACTGTTACTCATACCTACAGCCCGACGCCAGCCGCATTCAGCCAAAATCACTCACTTTTCTGACTAACAATAATAATAGCAAAGTTCAAGGTTCTTTTTCCCCGCCCCGACCGAGTCTTTGTCATTTTTCTACTCCAGGATAATCTGTCTGTTCACAAATAACAGTAGTATATTTTCAATGGATGAAGGATGTATCCTTATCCAGATATCTATTATCCATTCCCCTCAATTCACTTCAATTAGTATGGAGAAAAGAAAGATCCCCGGAAAAGCATTCCACCCAGGAGAAATAAGACAAGAAAAGGATGATCGCTTACCCCACGGGGTGCAATCGGGACAGCTCCTCTACGAGCCTCGCCGGATTCCGGAATCCGATTTGCATTTCGTGCTTTTTAACTTAACCAACTTGTTTGTGTGTGGAATTGGGATCGTCGCATTTCGTCACTGGAGAAGTAGTACTTTACATAACTGAATAATTCGTAATGTATTGCAATTGGCATGGATTTGGCATGAGATTCCGAGGTTGCTTGGTTTCCTAACTACGTATTAGTTTGTCTACTCTAGGCTAACTCACTAGAGCTCGCGCGAATACTTACTAACTATCAATGCTAGACCCATACTAGAACAGTCGGATTCTTTTGTCCTAATGTAGTAGGTATATCGCTGGTACATAGGATACATTTACACACTGCTTCGGTGTATGTTATGTGCCTGTTCACTGGTCATTTCCAGGTAAACCATCGGTCCTATATACACAATTTTCCCCCGGGTGCAAAATTCACCCTATCACTTCTAAACGCCATGTTTCGCCAATATCGCCATATAAACAAACATCACGATGTGATAGTGTCCCCATCATCAATCCAATCAATCATGTAAATCATGAACCCATATGTCCCAGGTCACAGAAACCAGAAGGGGAAGTCGCCGGCAGCCAGGCCGGTCATATATATCCATCCCATCGGCTTCATACATAACCCTCCCCCGTCTCGCATCTTCAATATAGCACATGAACACTCAATGCTCCGAATCACGCCAGCATGCACGTAGAAATAAGTAATGCAAATGAAGAAGGAGAAAACAATTCCAGAGCAGAATCAGGCAAATCAGGCAGGAGGTGCGTCATTCGATGATGACGATTCGACCGCCTCTCCATGCGCCCGCGTGCGCACCCGGAACTTCTCGCGCAGTCGCGTCGTCAGTCGACTGCGTCGCCGCATTCGCTGCTCATCCGCTTCGTCGGCTGCTTCCTCCCGGTTGGCCTCTTCCCGCACACTCCGCAGCGCCGCAAGGCGCTCTTCTACGCTGGCATCGCGCATGCGGCGTGCATTCAACGTACCGTGCAGGTAGTTGCTGATGCGACGGTGGCGGCCATGGCCACTCTCAGTTGTTGCCTGGGCGGCTCCCTCGGCCGTCTCCGGCTGACCATCACCCAGATCTTGCTCCTCCTCGCCTTCTTGCTGTGGGGGGTTGAGATCGATGCGGCTGCAGAAGTTAGTAAATGAATACATCATTTAGATAAATTCCAACAGAATGCTCACCAGAGAGGGCATGTGCCAGAAACATTCACCAGCCACGGGTCAATACACTCGGGGTGGAATTGATGGTTACATGGCAGCACGCGCAAATCCTGCCCCTTAACAAAGTCATCCGTGCAAATAGGGCACGAGAAGTTCGGGTGATCCGTTGTCGTCTCCGCCGCAGGAGCATCGCTGGGCTTCTCTTCATGCGATTCAGTCGGGGGCGCCTCCGTCTGTGGCTGGTGTGGGGAGGTGACCTCCGCTGTCGTGGTCACATTTCGTTCCTCTACTTCATTGGCCGGCACCTCCAACCCCGAACCCATCTCAACATCCCCCTTGGGGCCAACCGTCTTGCCGTCGGGTTGGTTGTTGTCCCCGAATTTGACGATCGGGATCGTATCTAACATGGCTCGCGCTATCCCTCGCGCTCGACTTTGTCGCGGTCGTCCCGCGGTATACCGAGGCCCATAGCGCTCCGGATGGCGGTGCGCACGCACCGCACCGGTGATGATAATGGCTAAAAAAAGGGCAGTGATAATGCCTGTAATACTATACAGAATGATCATCGCTGTAACACATTAGCACATGCTACCGCGGCAATGGAGAATCGGCATACCCGTGTTCGGACTCCCGGACGAATCGGTCTGGTCCTGGGTCGCTGTGGTGGGCCCCAGATACGACATGTTGGTGCCGATATACGTCGTTCCGTTCCCTGGAGCTTCAAGTTGAGACTGGACTTGCCGATTCAAAGTCGGATTCACGAGCGTAAAGACGTTGATGTAGCGGTTGGCGGATGGTTCATCCGTCGTATAGTTGCAGAGCAGTGAGGTGCCACTATATAAGATGACAGCGAGAGCCTGCTGCTGTGCGGTGAGGACGTTGCCTAGCGTGGAGCTGGCATCCAAGTTCCCGGGATAGGCGGATGGGTCGCAACTGATCACCGCAATATCCTTGCGGCTCAATGACAGAGAGTTGGTGGCATCCACATCCAACAAAGTCCCCGACACCAGATATTGCTAGATTCCATCAGTCTCGACATGGTGAGGCGTCGACAGGGCTGACTAACCGCAAGTTCCGCCTGATTGAGATCCACCAAAGCCTGGGTCAACGGGGCCAGACGGACGGACGTTGGCAAGTGAACCTGACTGCTGTTTAAAAGGAACCGGAGACCACCAGTCCACGACAGATCCCCAGAGTTGTTGGAGGGCCGCACGGTCCAACCGGCCGTGTTCACTGCAGAGCCGAGGGATGAGAGGGCGAGCAGGAAGATGAGGCGAGCGGGGAGCGAACAGGTGGAAGAAGCAGCAGAAGCAGCAGGAAAGGACGTAAAACGACGGAAGAAGGAGAATAAAAAGAAGAAAGGAAAGAAGAGTGAATCAGGATGGAAACGGGGAGGACCCATCGGCGAATCGCCCAGTTGATGATGCTGGCCGGCGATGGAACTTTCCCCACAGTGACGAGGCCTACGGAGACGGCGGAGGATATGGGGGACGGACGAAGATCATGAGCCACGGACGAGGATCGACCCAGGACCAAGAAACCAGGAGGGACCCAGAGGCAGCCGAAGAGGCACCCAACTGCCAGTCAGCGTTTGGCGAGGACAGTGATATCACCCCCGTGTAGGAATCGGACGATCCACGGCGGCTACAACAGGATTGGAGCGACCGTAGTGGAAGGGGGGGCTGTGAACAACAGTGAGAGGTAGGGATGTCTCGTCACCAATACGGGCAAGTGAAGAGCGATTGGGGAGATTGGGAGAGATTTGGGTAGTGGATTGAGTACCACGGAAATTAGGAATGGCGTGAATGAGACGATTTGGAAATTCAAATGGGGTGGGTGAGTTGGGTGAGAGGAAGTGAGTGAGTGATTGAGTGTGTGTGGATCGGAGGTTCACAGCCTTCAGCAAGCAGACTGGCTGCAATGGGAATTAGCAGCGGCTGGCGATGGGGGAGAAGGATGATGATTATCCACCAGACGAGGGGAGGTTGGCGGATGGCTGGCGAGCTGCGCAGCCGGGCGATCCGGCAGGAAAAGCGACGGATGAAATAAGAGCAAGACAAATAATAATGATAATAATAATGCCACTGGTCTGTCAGCCTCGTTACTATTCTTATTACTGCTGGCCTGGTGGGTTGTTTGGAGTGAGATTCAATCAATCAGTCAATCAATCAATCAATAAATTCAGCCAATCCACCCGAGGAGAATGAGCCGTAAACGCTGCCTGTTTCCAACCTTTTTAGTTCAATCAGAGGAGACAGCAAGCGAATACGAGAGGGTCGAGCAAGAGTGAGAAAGTAAAGAGCAGTGAGCAACCGGCGGGAGTTCCATGGATCGACCGAGCGATGCCGGTGGATGAAGGATTATTCATCGCAGCGCCTCGGTCTGATTGCTTGCAGATAGTCGTGGCCGAGGATTTGCGGCGTGATGATGGATGCTTGCGGTTCACTGAGAGCCGAAAGGAAGAAAAAGTGGGACGCCGACAAGAGACTGTGTGTCAAAAGAGAGACACTAGACACTAGAACTAGACTAGACTCAAAAGCAAGAGAGATAAAATGGAATCACAAATAGAACATTGGAGAATCCAAGGAAAAAGATGGGGCAGGATAAGATAAGCCTGGTCGCATCCACTTTGGTCTTCTTTCTCTTCTTCTTCTGATTAGATTGGGGTGAATGTCAATCCACCCGCGATCGGAATCTCCGCCTACAACAATTCTTGAGGGGGGTCAAAGAGGAATGAACAAGCAGACAAGCAACCCAATGGCAATGAAAATCCCCCATTCCACAGGAGAATAATGACTGGTCCTGAAGGCATGAGAAGAGAAGCTGCAACTGGACCGAGTGCGGGGGATCCTGGGCAAACCCGCCGATCGCTTGTGCTTGTCCCAATTTTCGGACGGGAGCCGTTCATGGTTCCGGTGACTGACTAAAAGATAACCAGTAATTCCGTAGCTAGCCAGCTCACTAGCAAAGATAACCAGCTGCCAGACAGGCTATTGTCAATCGGAGGAAAAAAGGGCTGACGGGGATTGACTTTCCGATTAATTAACCCTCAAGACAGGTGGCCCTGGTCAATACACGCGCACCACAAGAAAGCATTAACCATAATCTATCCCACACACCCACCCCCCAATTGATGGATGCAGCAGCACGAATAGGCAGCTAGATCACCGTGCGGCATTGCATCATTCATTGAACTTTGTTTTCCCGATTCAGCACCATCCCATCAAGGGGTTCCGTTTCCAGCAATGCAGAAGGGATGAGATCTCTCTCACCGCACCGCACCATATAAAAAGCTGACAGTTGCGCTCGTGCATGGGTCTCGTTTGAGAACGGGGTAAAGGATGTCCTCTCGTCCACACCTTTTCTAGCTGCTGCTTCTGCTGCTGCTGGGTTGAAGGGAGCGCGCATGGACCCTTTCGCGGGATGGGAATTTGATTGCTTTTTCCTCGCCAACTCCGATTTCTTCCAACGTGGATTCCTCCCCATCCAGCCAGAGCAGGAGCAATTGGTCATGATGGTGTGCAGACGAAACCATCCTCCGTCGCCAATTTACCAGTGATCGGATGATCTGGATGGGATCAGATCTGATCCCTTGATGGCGATGGTTACCCGTAACGGAAAAAGGTAGGTATGTCGAGCTGACTAACCTTCCCTGCCTTTTGACCGGATTTGTTTCCGTTTCTGTCCTGATCAGGAAGGTCCAACAACTCATCCCCGCTTTTGCTTCGCCGGTGATTCTCCGCTTCTCAAGGTGGGGGTGAATCAAGCACGTCCACAGTGAGTCTGTGTTCATTTCTCCAACGGACTCTCCGATGCCGGAGTCCATGCGTCTCCATTTGCGGGGATTCGGCGATGTTGCGAGCATGTCTGCTGTGAAGATGACGAGGCAGCGGGCGCAAGATTGCATTGCATCTCATCTGACCAAAACCGAAGGGACTGACTGACTGTTCATGATCTGCATAAAATGGCGGACACAATTTTATTCATCCTCATGCAGGGATTCCCTCTTTGAGCACTAGGGTTAGGGTCCCTGCCAGTCACTCGCCCCGTCCGGAATAAGCTATGGATTAGGCCGATCGGAGGGATCCGCCCATCCTCAGCTTGTTCAGCTCGCTATTTTCTCCAGACAGCAACATTCCTCCGACCAGGAGGTTAGCAGTAAAAAGAAGACGGTCTCTGGGGTGTCCTCCACTTCCCCCACTTTGCAGACTCGCTTTCCTCAGCCGACAATGTTCTTGCCCATCTGGTCGTTGCTGGGATGGGTTGCTTCCAACACGCCGTGTGACATGTGTCACATCTCTTTCCCTCTATCTTCTCGCTTTAACTTGCCATCCATGTCGAGCAGGCGACCAAGCACAGTCCCTACTGTCAATAAGTAAGTTTCAGCACCTTACCTGGGAGGGAGTATAGTAGATCAGCGAGACGAACATCCGCCAATCCATCCAGCCATCAATCCTGATCCGTCACCCATCCATCCTTTTAGCGGATCGTAGGGCGATCAAGTGGGATTGTCTAGCAGGGTTGATGTGACCTGACCTGACCTACCCACTGCATCCCCCCCCCCCACACACACACAGCGGCGGTCGCGTGTGTTGATCGTGCCGAATTAGGTGTAGATAAAAACTGGAAGACGGAGAACAGACCACCGACTGAATCAGGGCGAAAACAAGAACATACAAAGCATAATGCAATTCATGTTTGTTTTTTGCTTAAAGTGCGATCGGATCTCGCTTGCTTGAATAATGGAGGATCTTCCTCTGGTATTTGTGAGCTGAGCTGAGCTACTTTTAGTGCCAAAGCTACCACCCAATTTTAACCTATGCGTGATAGCCACCCTCGTCACTTGTCCCAGGAGTATTGACAACCACCACATCACCACTACCATCACAACCATGCAGGGTGTAGATGATGATGTAGAGCAGACATGACAGACATGACATGACATGTCTGAAGTTGGATTCTACCTCAGGGGAACGCCCCAATCAGACGACCATAGGTTATTGAGGGTTCCGATCTGTCGTGGCGCGCAACAGCAGCGCAGTACTACCACCACCATTACGATGTACTCATCTTCCATTGAGAAGAACTATCTACTGGGCAGTATTTCATTTATCAACACGAGAAAAGAATTACTAGTAAGATAGTGATAGTTAACTAAGTCAGAAATTAGGTACCGTAGCACTCGCCCAGCCAGCACGCAAGCACCGACGAACCAAACCCGTCACAGAACACACAACATACTGTTATATCGCAACGGTGTTATTAGGGGCTCCTGTCGAGGATTACTCCCGGTGCTACCTACTACCTATTTATCTATTAACCTACTTACTTCCTGCTACAGAGTTACTACTGCTGCTACGGATACAGCTGATTAAGGCCGTCGCCGCCGCCGCCGCCATGCATGCATCCCTACCCTTTCCCATCCTTGTGAGGGGAATAATTAAGAGAAAGGGATAGAGGGATGGAAGGATGGAAGGATGGGTTGATGATAAAAGCAGCGGCAGCAGCAGTAGCAGCAGCAGCCACCGCCAACGATTGGTGGGAGTATCGCGGTGGTCTCGACCGTGTTCTATACTACCGTGGGGCTTGTGACAGCAGCAGGGGCAGCAGTTAGTTAAATAACTAACCTACTTACAAACTACTATATAAGTAGTGTGTTGTAGTGTAGCAAGCAACACTTGGTACGTGTGTTCTGTTTCTACTTACTTAATTCCCTCTACACTCGCTATCTAGATAATAGATAGATCTACTACGTACTATACTTAAATACGGACCGTTTTACTACCCACATATAGTAGATAACTTGATAGATAAATGAACAAGTAAAAAGAATGGGGCCAACTTCCACCAGTCTAATATAGAAGATTACATACATACACAACAATACCCATAACCAATTAATCATATAAGTAAGCAAGTAAGAAGACTACTTACTCAGTAGGAGTACTAGTAGTACCCGACAACCTGGAAACACATTCCTATCGACGGAACAAGCTGCCACCAATCTCCGTCGTGGATAGATTCCCGCAACTTAACTTGCTTCAAAGTAGTAGATATGTATCCGTAGGTAGTAGATAACTGGTAAGTAAGTATACCGTACCAAGCATGATGGAAGGTTAGTAATGGTAGTCTAATCCCCCAAGCCACGTACATCAGGTACTTAAGTTACTACCGCACTTACTACCCGATTCAACCAAAGCTCAAGAAAGGAATGAATGTGCTGGTGGCTTGGACAGATTCGCCTCATCCGACCCTCGGATAAAGGGGGGTGGGTGGGTTGGTGGGATGAGAGACAAAAGATTGGGGCTTTGTTTCGTTCGTTCGTTCGTTTTTCCTTTTTGTTTGGATGCGATGGAATGGGATGGATGGGAACTTACCGACCGACCCGACCGACTGGGTTGATCGGTTTATTTAGTTATTCTATTTTACCTGGATATAAGGGCCATGGATAGCGGTGGTGGTGTGGTCAGATGGTGTCTTTTCTATTCCAAGGATATTTATTTTCTGGAATGAGTTAAATTAGTACTGTGTTGTTGTGTACTCCATGCTTGGTCAAGGGTATACCAAGTAGGGTAGTTGGTAGTTGGCAGTGAGAGTGCAGAAGACTGCTTAAAGGGGTAAATAGCTCTTTAGGGGAATGAGAAAAGACCGAAGGAGAGAAGGGACAGAAGATAGTACTAAATTGCTACGAAGGTAGAAAGAGCAGAAGATAAAGAATAAATGAAACGGGAAAAATAATTAACCAGGGCGTGAGGCCATTAATTTATTATTTTCATGGGGGGATTGATTAATAGAGTCAATTAATATTGACTAGGAAGGGAGGGAAGAAAATAAATAATAAAAGAAAAAGGAGGGATGGATGAATGTGAGTAAAATATTGTGGATGGGGAGGGATGTTTGTTCATTGTCATCCAACCCATCACGCACTAGCTCCAGGTGTCAAAGCTCCAGCCTACTGTAAGTAAGTCAGTCAGTACTTTGCTTTCTTTATGGGGGGAAGGGGGAAGAAAGAGACGACATGACATGCCTAGTCTAGCTAAATATCCGCTGGTTATAGTTCAGTCAAAGGAATTGACTGACTGATTGACACTGACTGCGGAAAATCCTACCCTACTTCTACGTTTCAGTCCCCACTTGCTCCTGGAGAAGAACGAGTCAACCTCAGGCTCGTATGGGGAAGTGAAAAAAGGCAAAAAGGGCGCCAGGAAGCGCACAGAGACAAGAGGCAGAGAGAGAATGCCATGTCAGGCCGAACCAAAATTAGCAGCAGCAGTAGCAGCAGCAGCAGCAGAGCGAAAGATGGGATGGGATGGATGGATGGGTGGATGAATGGATGGCGGTCGAGGGTCTGGAAGAGTTATCCCGCGTCCTACTCCCCGCTTCTATTCGAGGGCCTCGACCGCTGGAGCCCCCGGCGAGATCCAGACTGATTGGCCACCGCCGCCCAGGGAGGCGCGCCCGCTTCCCTGCTGAAGGTGTTGAAGGAGGGTCACTCTCCTCCCAGTCGAGGGCCGAGGCCTCCCATCGAACTGGTATTGTAGTAAATTGGATCGGGGAACCCGGTCAGATGCTCTCTCTGTAACTGAAGGTATAGGGGGCCCGTTGCTATGTTATACCACCCTGCTCCAGGGTTTTTTTATTCCCTACCTATTATTTTGAATTCTCACCACCACAACAACACGGGATGCGATCAAATGGTGGTGCTGTCTGTTTGGAACTACTGACGCCGTCTTCCCAATCAAGCACCAGAGAAGCTTAAAATGATTGATATTTCCGGTGCATCTGAAATTTCAAATCCTTTCGAATTCTAATTGCGAGGAACGAACATTGGGTTTTTTTTCCCCTCCTCCCTCTGTGATTTTTTCTTTTTCTTTTCCTTCTTCCCTTTTTACTGATCAAGACAAGAAATTAAATAAAAAATCAATCGTAATCATAATTATCATAATAATTTCAACACATCCATCCATCCATCCCAGTGGAAGCCTAAACTTACCTTTTTTTTTTTTTTTTTTTTTTCTATTTCTCTCTCACTCACTCACCCTCTCTCTCTCCATTCCGAAAGAAGATAATCGTGGAAACAAATACCAAAAATATGCGTTAAATAAAATAGGCAGTTAAGAATAACAATAACCTGAGAAATGATAAATCATCCGCTTAACATGGAAAATTAAAAGCCAAATAAATCAGTAACGATTGAGCCAAAGAAGGCACAGACAGTCTGCTTTGCACTGACTGGTAACCGTAGTACTTTTTCCCTGGTCCTCTTGGGGGGGGGGGATGTTTTTTTCTGCGTCCAAGCCCCCCATCTTCTCTCTCTCTTTCTATCTCTTCCTCTCCAACTCTCTTTACTACTAACTAACTAACTCACTGTTGACGCTGTTGTCTTTCTCTCTTCTCATTCTTGTCTTCAACCTGTCTTTATCCCTCCTCCCCCAGATCAAAAGTCCCCTTTTCCCGGGCGGGACCTCCCGCTAAAGCAAACGCGATCAGGATCCGCTCCACGAGGCTTTAATCGGTCAAACAATCCATCGACAGGGAATTCATTCATCGAGGCCCCAACGAGGCGATCAGGAACAAATCCACCGCCCCGTTCTTTTACTCCTACTGCCATTCCTATTCCTACTACTTCCTCACTACCTGTACTACTACTACCACTACTACCACTTCCACTACTACTTCCAATTCCTCCCCAATCTCTCCCTCCCCCTTCGCAGACATTAGATCCCAATCCCAATTTACAATTTCCCTTCCAATCCCTACCCTATCCTATCCCCCTTCTAATTCATTCCTTCCCCTCTTCTTCCTCTCGCTTCCCCCCAAAAGTCTCAATCTGAAACCTCACCTTCAACTCCATCCATTCATTCATTGATTCACTCACTCATCCATCCATCCATCTATCCATCCATCACCTCTACTACTCCACCCTTCTCTATTGTCAACTTTCACCCCCTCGCGCTAGATGATCGATCCCGCCCAACTTTAGCCTTCCCATCTTCTTCTCCCTCGCAGACGTCCGCCCCTGACATGCACCTGTCGGCTCACTCGACGAGACAGCGCTCGTCGTGCCTTGCCGTCCGTTAGCAGCAGCCCCCACGCCTGCCCGGCAACCATGTCCCCTCCGTCCCTCGCCATTCCGGCCACTTCTCCCGTGGCCGAAACTCTCCATCTTTGGAAGAAACGCTTCGACAAGCGACATCTTTCCACGTAAGCCAATTTCCCCCCTTGCTTCCTTTCATGATTCGAGTCTCCTGGGGCCGTCGTCTCTTCGTGACTCGTTTGACTTCCCGTCAACCTTGTGTGTCTGTGTGTGTTGTGCCCGCGGATGATCTACACAGGCTCCATCCCCCATGATAGGATAGATAGTCCGTGCTTTAATACTCTTCCGGAATAGCTAGAGCACGGTGCGGATACAAGACCGTGATCGTTCGTCCCACTGACCATCCGACAGCAACCCGGTTATCGCTACCCTTGATATAGAATACAACGAGCTGGTTCAGTCTTGGAAACGCTTCCAGGATAACCTCCTCCCCAACGATCGAGTGCTCTTCCACGAACGTCTGCAAGGTCTCGACGATGTTTTGGACGTCGTCGCCAGCATCGAGCCCGTCTGGACGTCCACGTCGGGACAGCGAATGTTGAGGGAATGTTGCGACGAATTTCGTTCGACCCTGGGCTCACACGGGAGGTTACTGGCCGTTCTACCAAGGAATGAATTGTACTGCTCGATCTTTTACGGCGTCCTGCAATCTCTTCTGAAGGTGAGCCCGGATGTTGTTCGTATCCCCCTCCCCCAGTCAATAACTAAATCATGAGTCCCAGGCATCCGCGGGCTATCCCAGAATCATGGAAGGATTGATCAAAGCACTGGTCCAAATCAACCGCCTCATTGCCCCGCCAGCCTCGGGCGAGGCAGTACCGACGACGAAGGACTCCATCAACGCCATTGCCCGCTTCTACACGCTCCTATTCTTCTTTCTTGGAGAAGTGATGGACTGGTATGTGAGAAAGGCCAAATGCGGGCTCCTGCGGAGCCCCAACCAAGACGTGTACCGTGCCTTTCAACGCCTGATTGGCCAGATTCGACGCAGCGCGAAAAGTATGATGGAAGATCTCACGGACGCCATGGACCTCGATGACCCCGACTGCGATAGCTTATGTGAAATGACCCATGACGACTATCGGGGGTGGTTTGAGCGGGCTCGATTGAGCCAGGTGGGTCTTCAGAACGGGGCCCGCCGCTTTGCAGCGCAGAATGCCCTCACCCGTCAGTTGATGTGGGAGATTCATCAGGATGCGGCGGAGCGTAAGCGATTGTTGCAAGACAGAGATGTTCTTCTGGCGCGATTGCTGGATACTGTTAGTCTACAGCTACAGTCCGTGAGTAAACAAAACAGCGGCATTGCCTGTTTGACCACGACCGCTTCCCAGGACTTAGGTAGGGAAGCCAGGCTCACATGGCCCGAACTGCTCGAAGAGCTGACCGTGCACGCATTACAAGACACAGACAGGTCCAACCTGATAAAAGGGGGGCACAAGCATAAGTACACACGCATGGAATTGCAGATGGCTTCCCAGAAACTCGAAGACTTCTTTGATGCCGACGACCAGATCCCCGCGCTCGAAGTCGACGTTCCAGTCATTGCGGAAGATAACGTGATGACCTCGCTGAAACAATGGGCGACCGACGCTCACTCACAGGTCCTGGCCGTGGGGGGCCCTCAATCGACAGTCTACCCTAGCCCGGTTCTGCTTGTCTCGACGTGTTACGCGAGCTTTGCTCGCAAGGCGGGCTTGCCCGTGATCTCTCATTTTTGCAACCGATCCACCGATGCCGCCAACGAACTGACCTATGAGCAACACCTCATTGCCCTGGCGTACAGCCTGATCCGCCAGTTGATAGAATACCTGCCTCCCGTAGTCGAAAGTCATGCGGGGTGTGATCTGAGCGGCGAGCGGTTTAAACCTTTGAACGGCTCGCTCACGTCCTGGAAGGAGGTGCTCTCGCTGATCGATATACTCCTGCACTTTGCGCCGCCCCTGCTGGTGTGCGTGATCCATGGGCTCGATGTCATTCAAGATGCGTCGACAGATCCGTACATCCGCTCATTGGTGCGGACCTTTCTGACGCATACGCGGCACCAGCCCGAATTGCTGCCAAACGGCGGACAGAGCCAGAGCGTATTACTGAAGGTGCTGTTCACGGTGGCTGGTCGCCCAAGCTCGCTAGTGGAGACATTATCCGAGAACCAGCTCATTCTGCGGGAGTCGAACACGACCGAGGAGCTGGCCCCGACCGACGCCGCCTTGGACGCCGATGTAGGCCCTACGGCCATGATTGCATAGTCATTTCGATGCTTGAGCGACGCCGCATTGCGACTTAAGTTTGATTATTCTTTTCTTTCGGGTGAAAAACGGGTCCTCATAGAATTTCATGCAGGCTGGGAATATTCTTCATGTTTTGGATATAAGTTGGATTGGCATGGGCCGCTGGATGATGCATTGCTGTGAATTCTTCCTTTCTTTCGTAACGTCACCTCCCCCAGATTAAGGGGAGCTTACAACGATGGTTTTTCTTTGTTTCTGCATGTTGATGGAGATATTTTTATTGTTTGGGACAGGCACATCTCTTCTATCTCGGAAGCACGGAGTATACGACAGGACCGGTTGGGAGGGAGCATTTGGGTGTACATTTGTAATTATAGCAGCTCGACGAGGACATGCATATACGACGGCTGTTGCTAGACTGATACCCTGAGTTGCAGTGGCTGTCCTGATCTGGATCAGAGTCTCTGTTAGTTGTCTTTCCACGGATTGCTCGGTGTTCCTGGCACCCTCGGGATTCATCTTCCGACGCAGTGCCGCTGCATCCCATCCTCTTCCCCACAATCGTTCTTTTCTTTTCTTCTGCATCCTCTTCTGGAGTCTGTACGAGTCAGCCAAGCGAGCATTCTCCACTGACTGCGTCTTCCTTTGGTTGTGCGCGTGACCTGCTGTGTTCGGAATTTAACGTGGGAGTGGATCCGGGACTGCACCTCCGTCCCAAATATATATTTATTGGACTCTCCCATGCTGGTGGGCAACGCAGTCAACATCAATCGTCTTACAAACCATCTCCAACATGGGTTCCAACGGATTTCGCACCGGCTCCAACCGGCTATTTCAGCTGGATTCCGTCAATGTAGAGGACTTTAAGAAAATCTGCTCCCAGACCACCGACCCCACCAGCTATCCGCTGGCTGTGGCCGTGCAGAAGAACATCCCCATCTATGATGCCGCCACCTTCGATCCCCTGAGTGCGGATACCACCCCGGCTCTCCAAGCAGAATGGCATCACATTCTTGAATCTGGACCGGGCATCTTTGTCCTCAAAGGCATGTACCATCCTTCCCGGTACGCAGACACCCTGAACGCCACCAACACAGCTTTCCAACACATCATCGACCGGGAGCGCCAATCCCTGAATCCCAAAGGCGACCACTTCGCTGCCAGCGGGAAGAACGACCGCATCTGGAACTCCTTCAGCAAGCATGCCTTTGTCGACCCCAGCTCCTTCATCAACTACTACAGCAATCCCTGGCTGCGTGTGGTTAGTGAAGCCTGGCTGGGCCCCGCCTATCGGGTGACCGCCCAGGTCAACATCGTCAAGCCCGGTGGCGCTGCCCAAGATAGTCACCGAGACTACCATCTGGGATTTCAGGAATTGGATCGATGTGCAGCCTTCCCGCGGAGTGTTCAACTCGCCAGTCAGTATCTCACATTGCAGGGGGCCGTCGCACACAGTGAGATGCCGGCGGAGAGCGGTCCCACGCGGTTCCTGCCGTTTAGCCAGACATACGCGCCGGGATATCTGGCATGGCGCCGGGACGACTTCCGGGAATACTTCAAGGAGAACTATGTGGCATTGCCGTTGGAGTTTGGCGATGGGTTGTTTTTCAATCCGGCGGTATTCCATGCCGCGGGGGCCAACGAGATGGCCGAGAGCACGGGCTTCCATCGCAAGGCAAACCTGTTGCAGATTGGATGTGCCTTGGGGAAGACGATGGAGCACATCGATGCAGTACCGGTGGTGGACAAATGTTGGGAGGAGGTCAGTGAGAAGTATCGGCGGCAAGGAGGGCTAAATGCAGAGTTGGAGGCATGGGTATATGCCGTGGCAGATGGGTATCCGTTCCCCTCGAACTTGGATCGTCGCCCCCCTGCTCCGAGTGGGATGGCACCAGAGAGCGAACAAGAGATGATTCTGCGGGGGTTGAAGGAGGGATGGGATCGGACCAGGATTGTGGAGGAGCTGCGAGCGCTGCAGCGGGAGGGACGGGGGCACCAGGAGGTGTAGTTGATAAATATACATTTTTGTTGTACGTATAGATAGCTGATCATAAACCTATGGAGGAGCATTTCTCCGATGCAACGCTATCCCGTATTCTTTCACTTTACACTCCCACAAGACGAAGTTCAAGTAGGACAACTGCCACCATGTGATCCGTCCCTATCATCCTTCGTTATTCTCACGATCAGACTGTCCACGCTTCCACCATGCCCATTCCCATACCGACCCAACATGCTGTCCTTCTTGCAGTTCCTCCAGCTACTGCTGGCCACCCTCCCAGCAGCAGCCATCAACCTCACCGGCTATGAATACATCGTCGTAGGCTCCGGCGCCGGCGGAGGCCCCTTGGCTGCCCGCCTAGCCCTAGCAGGCCACTCCACCCTGCTCCTCGAAGCCGGCACCGACCAAGCTCACAACCTCAACACCTCCGTCCCAGCCTACGCAGCCCTCGCCGCCGCAGACGACCATCTCTCCTGGAACTTCTTCATCCGCCACTACGCCGACGACGCCCAACAAGCCCGCGACCCCAAAACCGTCTACACCACGCCCACCGGCGCGCAATACGTCGGCCTCCATCCACCCCCAGGATCCATCATGAAAGGCATCCTCTACACCCGCGCCGGCACCCTAGGAGGCTGCACTGCCCACAACGCCCTCGTCGCCATCTACCCCCATCGCTCCGACTGGACCTACATCGCCAACCTCACCAACGACTCCTCATGGCTCCCCGACCCCATGCGTGAATACTACATCCGCCTCGAAAACAACCACTACCTACCCCCGGACATCCCAGGCCACGGCTACACCGGCTGGCTCTCCACCGAACACGCCCCCATCAACCTCGTCTTCCAGGACCCCCAACTCCTCTCCCTCCTCCTCGGCGCCGTCTTCACTCAACCCAGAACCATCCTCTCCAACCTCATCTCCCTACTCCTCGGCGACGTCAACTCCCCCTCCCCTTCCCGTGACTCCAAACCCGCATACTACCAAACCCCCATCGTCACATCCTCCAACGTCCGCAACAGCGCCGCCGACTTCCTCCGCGCCGTCCACTCCGCTACCAACTCAGACGGCAGTCAAAAATACCCCCTAACCATCCGCACGAACTGCCACGTCACCCGCGTCCTCTTCGACACCACCTCCCAGCCCCCAAAAGCAACAGGCGTCTCCTTCCTCGACGGCCCCTACCTCTACCGCGCCAGCCCTCTCTCCTCCCCCAACACCCCCAGAACCGCCGGCACCGCCACCGCAACCCGCGAAATCATCCTCTCCGCAGGCGTCTTCAACACGCCCCAGATCCTCCAACTAAGCGGCATCGGACCCGCAGACCTCCTCAAGCAACACAACATCCCAGTCCTGGTCAACCTCCCGGGCGTCGGCGCAAACCTCCAAGACCACTACGAGACCTCCGTCGTAGTCGAAGCCCCATTCCCCTTCCGCATCCTAAACGGTTGCACGTTCAACTACACGTCCGACCCGTGCTTGATCCGCTGGCTGAACCCGAAAGGAATACACAAAGACAGAGGAATTTACTCCTCTGCGGGGTTTACAAGTGCATTACTCCACCATACCCCCCTTCCCAACACTTCCACCACCCCTAGTCCTGCTAACAAAGATGACTACAACACAATAATCTACGGCGGCCTCGTCAACTTCCGCGGCTACTTCCCCGGCTACGAAGTCAACCTAACCCTAACGCACCACTCCTTCACATGGGCCATCATCCAAGCACATCCATCCAACAGAGCCGGAACGGTGAATATCACTTCGTCAGATCCGCTCGATCCTCCACATATCCTCTTCGACTCCTTTTCAGACCCTGGTTCGGAGAAGGATCTATTCGCCTTAGTGGATGCGATTAGGGTTGCGAGAAAGGCATTGAAGAGACAACTTATACCTACGTGGGAGACGTTCCCGGGGAAGGAGGTACAGGGGTATGAAGAGCTGAGGCAGTATGTGTTGGATACGTCGTGGGGGCATCATGCTGTCGGGACTTGTAGGATTGGAAGGGGTGAAGGGGGTGATGATGAGGGGGCGGTGGTGGATGGGAGGTTTAGGGTTAGGGGCGTAAGGGGACTGAGGGTCGTGGATGCGAGTGTGTTTCCTAGGGCACAGGGGACGTTTCCGGTTTTGGGGGTTTATATGTTGGCGGAGAAGGCGGTGGGGGATATTTTGGGGGATGATGGGGGGTGAGGTGGGGTGGGTTGTATGTAGATGGGGAGATATTGTGTAGGTCTGTGGTGATAATGATGATGATGATGATGATGTAGGGTTCGTTTGGCAGTTAGTAACTTAGTTAGTCTGCCTACAAGTGGAGAGTGATTGAGAAAGATGCCGTGGAATTACTAGTGGATCTACGTGCCATTACAGGGTATGATTGTCTTCTTTGGAATAGGAAAATGGCATTAACTTGAAGCATAAGGCACAAGTGACATGTAAATGAAATGGTATTCTGGCTGGGTATAGTATTAGGGATTATATAGCGAGGGATATCAGTGGGTAATGTGGTGTAAACAGGAAAGTGAAAGTAGGTAAAAGGAAGATAAAGAGGGAATCGTACGAAAAGAGTAGGAACAGGCAAAGAGGGAATAGGAAGAAGAGCAAGAAGAAAGATGTTGCAATGAGGGTCTGTAAGGAAGAGGGTAAAAGAAAGAGAAAAGAAACGAAACGAAACGAAAAGAGAAGGAAAACACAAAATAAGTGAGGGTAAGTGTGAATGAGTGTGTGGTGAGGGGAAGGAGATCATTTCTTGTTGATCTTGTTCAGATAGTTTTTGATCTCTTGGTTGCCTCTTTCCCTCACATCCGTGAGCCAATCTCTCACTCCCCGGCTACTATCTCCCACCCGGATAACACCGTCCTTCACACCCTTCCATCCTTTGATGGGTTGTTCTATAAAACTGTGATTACCCCAGCACATTTTAGACCAGAGCCCCTTGTCGGGCGAGGCCCGCAACCCAGCCCGACTCTTGTTGCAGTCATTGCAGTAATCGGTCGCCGGGCAGTCAAGACACATGTACCACTGAGGTGCTTCCAAATCCCATTTGCTCAACTTCGGCTTATTGCAGGGCCCCATGCACTGCAGCGTGCAGCCATTACTTTCATCGACGTCGATAGTCTCGTCCGGGATGGGCATGCTGTCGGGAGTCGTCACTGCCGTTGTTGGGGACTCGTTTGTACTATCAACAGAGCAATGACAAGTGCACGCGCTCTTGACGGACTGTGGGCTTAACGGCTCCCCAGGATGGGCTGCTGGCGCAGAGGCAGTGCGGCTTGGGTCCACCTTCAACCCCATCCATCCATCGACAGCAGGTATTGGCGCATCGCGATCGTAAAGGAATGCCGACAAGGTGTGCTGGAATTCATCGTCACTGACTTGGACCGCGTCGGCATTGGCACGATCAAAGATAAGAGACGCTGCAATTCCGGCATCCTTTCGGAGATTAAGCCAATTCAGCACCTTTGCCAGTGTACGGAAAGCAGGCATGTCGTTGTCATCAACCCAATCGTCCAGATCGGCAATGCAGAGCTTAAAAGCTTGGTCGGCTATTTCGTACGCCCGACGTTTATGATTCATGTTTGAAAACATTTTTGCGAGCGTTATGAGAGCATTAGCCTTGGCAGATGATTCTATGACATCTGCTATCCGGACATTGTTGATCAGATCAGCCGCTGCATAACACAGAGCCATCCTCAACGATTGGACCTTGGTCTTGCTGAATCGATAATAGTAAATGTCGAAGCGCTCTGTGATAATAATGCTGAGCAGTCTAGAGTCGACTTGAAGGGTCTCGTCTCTTATCATAGCATCCAGTATCCTGTTAAAGATATCCTCGGCCATCCTGATTGCATGGCAATCTTGTCGGTAGATGACCGCAAGTTCCGATAGCATGACACATGTCTCATGGAACAGCCCTTGATAAGCCCAATAGTTGATGGCACTGTCGTAAATTCGTATAACGACTTCAACGTTGCCAGTTGCCACGGCTGCCCTGCGGAGCCAGTCATCCTTGTTCGTTTGGCGAGAGCGGCTCATCAGCCAAGTGGGAATGAAGTTGGCTTCCTGGGTAACCATCTGTCTTTCTACCGTATTGATGATCTCCATATGATGTTCCTCCTCCGCATAAATCTGCACAAGAATAGTCAAGAAATAATTCAGCCCTCGGCATTTCTTGAAGTCGCCGCTTAGTGCGTCTGTGCATCTCTTGTAGGCTAGCTGCTTATCACCGAGGGCCATGCAGGCTTGGACGGAAAGCATATAGACCCTCTTGCATCGGTTAAGATTGAAATTAGGTCGCAATGCGGCATCTGTATTTTTCCAGCACTTGAGGGCTTCATCAGTGTACTCCTTGACTTTTCTCCACTCATCCACAGCGATGACTCCGGCTTTGGGCACAGAATGTTCTGCAAGTCCAAGCAATGAATATAGCTTCTCCGCACACATTGAATCGTCCAAGTACCGGTTATGCCTATACAGGGAAAGAGCATACTCCCGGTCATTCTGGTTGTCCGATTCATACAAAAGGAGGGCGGCTGTGAGTCGCGCTTGCGCAAATCGTGTGCGCGAGTCTCTGCACCACGCAAACAGATCTTGAGCGATCCTCGTGTTGATCTGGTCATCATCTCGGGACCAGTGCTTGTATTGTCCAGTCTAAACATGTTAGCTCACCAGGATTGATTTTTATCGGTATCCAGATACGTACATTGAATAACGCGCGATAGGCAAGCCTGTATGGCACCTTAGCGCCCTGAGGAGTAGATTTTTGAACCCAGCTGCGAATATGGCCTTTAGCTAGATCTTCCAGCATTCCTTCAGGGCGCTTCTTCAGGGCCTGGGCCCAGGTCCATATCTGAGTCGGAAGAGATAAGTTTTCCCTCTCGTCTCTTTCTGTCAGCTTTTCTATCCAAGCCCGCACAAGTTCATTGGTGCTCCTGGCCTTGTCGGTATCATAGATATCGAAGTGGATTTGCTTGTCAGATGAGTACCATATTATATCCTCGAACACAGAAGAAACGCCAGTTTCGTTTGTTAGAACCCTGCCCAAAGCTTCTCCGACCTTCTTCAGCTCCCTACCCGGGATCTCCTGTGGTTTTGCGGGCCTCGTGTCCCTGTAATGTGACATCTTATCTTTGAAGCCCTTCTTAGCATCTTTGGTACTGGGTCGCTGCCATTGGGGAACCATTTCTCTGTCAATGTCTTTTAGATGCTGGATGAGGTGACAGGCCGCATATTGACAGAGAGCGGTAGGTTTATCCGCTTTGTGATCGCAAAGAACGTCGCAAAGAGTGACAAAGATGTTAACCTTCTCAGCATTGACGTCCAGTCCTGGCTGGAATTGACCCCTTTTGACGCATTCTCTGACCTTTGCGTTGCGGAACTCGATGTATTGATAATCACCGATGGACGGGGTTTTGCGGGATTTCTGATTAGAGTTCTCAGTCTCGTGCTCGGGTCGGGAACACCAATATAGCTCGCGGTCCAAATTCGAGGGGCCCAAATCGGGAGGAAGCATCTGCCGCTTGAAAAGGAGACTATGAAAAGGTCAGATTGAACGTGTACCGCGCTTTCTGGGTTCAGCAGTCCTTACTTCTTACACTGAGACAGGATGGGTTCCAGCCCCAGACCCCTTACCCGCGCATCATCGTCAAGGGCAAGTATCTGGTTTAGGTTGGTCACCGTGAGAGTCTGCTTCGCAAATGCGCACCAAAATAACACTTTTTTGACAGCCTTCTCAAGTGGCTCGTTGTCTTTTGCCAGAGCTCTCCTCACCAAAGCGTCTTCTCCATCACCTATCATCTCTTTGAACCTGCCAAAGCTCTTCGGACCTTTAACTTCATACTGTTCCATAATTTCGATGGTCTGGTCCAACACAGACAGGTTTCCTAGTAGCCATCTACCGCATTAAAAGAAAAGAACTTCCACATAGGAGGGATTAGTCAGCTCACCTTCTGATAAATGCTTTATGAAGTCCGAGACCTCCTTGACGAGGTCCTGATGAAAACGTAAAAGGTGCGAGAGCTTGGTAAAGGAACTCATGCGTTGGAGAATGATCTTGTCTTGAAGAGGGTCAGTATTCCACATGCTGATTTCAGGAATGGATGCTTTTTCCGCCAAGTCGGATGGAAAGAGTTCCCCCTGATCGTGAGACCCAGTCAGGAGGACCCAAATACGATGGTTCCTTTCCCCAAGTGTCTCATATAAGAGACCCAAAAGTGATTCTCGCTCTTTGGGCTGCATCTCCGAAACACCGTCCAGGAGGATGTACAACTGTTCGGACGAATGTGATCGCTTCTCAAACCGCTTCAGCACGAGCTCATCCCAGACCATTTTCGCATCGCGCGAATCCAAGACAGGTTTGGTGGCTATCGCGTCACACCACTTTGGATCCTGGGCTGCAATCTGGAATAGAATAGAGGCCACAACGCTGGCGAAGCTCTGATTGTACTGCATGCCCGGCTCGAACAGAAAGTAAGTGACTATTAGTTGCTGTCGCACAGTTTCTTTCTGAACCAGAGTTTGATCTCTTCCGGCTATTGATGGTATCAGCTGATAGCAATGTGCTGTTAGGAACGTCTTTCCCACGCCATCACCGCCTTTAAAGTATAATAAAGGACAGGTGCCGTGCGGGTATAGCCACTTCCTAAAATAGTCATTCTTTTCAACCCACAGTAAACCGTCATCAATCAGTTGTGGCATGAATGAGTCCATCCGAGTGGCCATCTGAGACATCACTGTGAGGTTGAGATTGAGCTTGCTTTGGAGGGTTTTCGTCAGCTTATCAAACACGTTCCCTTTCTCAGACATGCTGTGCATATCGAACGAGAAGGCAGTCTGCTGCATCTTGGTATTGGTATTCTTGATCAGCCAGTTAACGCCATCCTTGATCTCTTTGGTATCATTGTATCCTTCGATTTTTATTGACTTATGGAAGTTCTTGATCGCTTGTTCAACCTTTTCGCATTTACCGGTGGTCAAGTCGGTTTGGTAATTGAAGAGCTTTTTTGCGAAAAGCGCTATGGTTGGAGACCCCGTTAGTTGCAACTCTGAAGACAAATGATGTGCACTTTTCTGTGACTTGTATAGACCTACTGATACGTTTTTGGCTTCGCAGATCGTGCCCTACATAGGAGCAAAACTGCAACAAGGCGATGAAAACACCCACTAGGCTTTGCTTGGCAGTTGGCGTGACGACGGGATATTTGTCGAAAGTATCAATTTCTTGCATTGCAGCAGTGATTGTCTGAAACGTTGCCTGAACAGTGTTCAGGTCTGCGCTCACATCCTGGGCAGCCTGCTTGGTATGAGTTATCTGGTCGAAACTGGGCTGGTGAGATGAGCAGAGATTCCCGCGCATGGTTTACCTTGAGCAAATACGATATGCCCCCAGCGAGCAGTTTGGCTGGTTCGGCATACTAAGTTGGTTAGATAATTGAGCGAAATTCTTTGGAATAGCCATATACATACAGTCCCGCTTGCGTGGCCTTCGACATAAGTGCACGCTTTCTGTGCCCAGGACATACACTGTTGCACTGGCTCGCGTAATTTGTTTCCAAACTTGTCAGCTTGGGGGTGTCTCCAATCGCGGAAAAGGGCCTCTGTTTGAGCGAGAGGGTCGCTTGCTGAGTGGAAGTCGGCTAGGTGCGCTTCTTCGGCTGGGTCGAATTTCAAATCTCCCTTTGCCTTTGCAAAAGCCTTATCCCACAGCTGCGTCATCGATTCCTCGCCATACCCCAATCTTTCATCGTCCCCATCTTTGCGATTCAGGAGCGATTTGACGTCCTTCATGGTGGGCGTATCCGATCGTGGAAGTCAGAGACCTGCGAAAAGCAATCCCACAGTCGTCGCGATGGGGCGAACTGAAATACATAAGACAGGGGGAGGCAGGTGCGGCTGAGCTGAACTTCGTCAGCCATCCCTATTCATCTCGCTCTATCATTGCTCGATCTGATTCGACCTGCATAGTTAGAGGCACGCTAGACGAACCATGGAGCACGGCAGGGGCCCTCATCGGGCCGATCGATCGAAGCTCAGTGGCAGAGATCCCGAGCAGGTGGGGACACGGGAGATTAATCGCTGCCCAGCTGACAGCGTGGTTCTTCAGCTCAGAAGTTTACTGATTCTATGCGCTCGCGACGCGTGCACTTGGATTGACTTCTAGCGGAGCAAGTTCATCGAATGTGATATCTAAAACCAAACATACTTATGATGTCTCCATTTCAGCACGTACATCATGGAGTGTTCCATGGATTGGCATGAGGGATGGGTGGCTAGCGCGCATCTCCGGTGATTTGACGATCAGCAAAGAGACCCACTGTCAAAAGTTTAGCACCTCTCCTGGTTGGATCGCGATGCGGAGGCCCCGTCGCATGCTCCATGCTCCCAACATGGTCCCGGAGCATTGGAACTGCAGCTGCAGGTCGACCATGGACCATCTGACGAATCAAATGTGTCCTTTGGTGGTCGTCAGTAATGAATATGTGATTGCAAGAACGTGATGGCACTGACACAGTGACGGAACCCATTACCCCAAGGGGGAATGATATGCTTCGCCCTGGCATGGGCCCCTTCATCTCCACCAATGACGGCAATGCTGGAATTATTGTGTAAACCAATTGCAGAATAGGGAGGAGGGAGAGAGAGGTATAGAAAGGGCAGAGAAGTATGAACACAGACTCGTGTCTGCCGTAGGTTCATGCAAGTCATGATAAGATGACATGGCTGCTTGTTATCGTAAGGAGAGGTGGGTACACAACGAGTAAGTACATAGTTTGGTGCTAAACGTCCGATAGTCGGAAGTAACTACCTCAACATCACGTGTATGAATCTCGCCCATTAATCACGTGATGCTATATCAGGTGATAACAGCCATTCGAGGCTATTCCTCTTTGAGTTACAGTTTCTCCGATCCATCGAAACTCTTGATGGAATCAATTATTCATGGAATGATTCTCCCGATGGAGCTCGCCCTTCCTTCCCGCGGATCAATGTCCGACTTCTTCATTCGACATGGCTCCTACCAGACCTGGCAAGTCGGGTAATTAGCCAGACGTCTGCTAATGCAGCTTCGGCCTTCTCCGCTCGAAAAAACGACTTCCAACCTACACTGAGCTCAAAACCACTGACATCAACATATCACAAACACGATAGAGCGTAAAAGCAAGCATTGAAATGTGAGAATGCTTTCAGTTTGCCTATTGCAAATACGCTGAAAGCCACGGGCTATTTTAACAATGACATTAGCACCGATTGAGAACAAAATTACCAACGTGCGCTGCTATGCGACTTTCCGCCTAAGGTACTGCTGGTGGGGCCTGACCGGATATCTCGGTGCTCCAAAGCTCACGTCGTCTGACCGACCACATCTATGAACAAAGAGCAAATAACGTCTTTTCGCTGCTATAACTGGATGACGGTATACGGTGTCTTCTCAATAAGGGGCTTCTCTTCTAGTAGCATCATATGGTTCAACGCTTTCATGGCCGCCGCTGCCGCTCGCCGAATAGTTGCTACAGGGAGTTCTCAGGGTCCGTGAACCCTGAGAGTCCCTGAACCCTGAAGCCAAGCGCCAAGCGCCAAGCCCGTCCAGTGCCGACCTCAGCGCGAATACTTGCTGCGCGATTTGTTCGTTGTCCGCGAGCAGTGGATAAACGACCTACTACGTACCCACTCGTTACTTCTTGTCATTGGATGGTCACTCTGTATACTATATGAATTTTGCTATCCGGCTATGCCGGCACAACAGACGCCTGTCTGGGTAGCAGCATATAAGAGGACCTTCTTCTCTTCAGGAAAGCTAGAGCTGTGGTGTCCCAATCGCTTCTCTCCTGCAATAGACCCCAAACTACCAGCTGCTCTTCTCCAAGATAACGCTCTCAGCCATGCCTTCCTGGATCGTCAAGCTCGGTGCCCTCGTGGCTTTGGCGCATACCGTCGCCGGATCTCAGATCTCCCTCAGGACGACCACGCCGCCGGCGAATGAGTACGTGACACACTGCACTGTCATCCTCGATGATGAGTTTTTTGGCTGCAAGGGCAGTTCGAAGCCTTTCGGAAAGAAGTGCGGCCACAACAGGGGCATCCAGACCAAGTCTATCTGCGATACATCATCCGTCACCGTGGATTGGTCCACCGCCCAGGTCACCTTCCAGGATAACAATGGCCACTCGGCTAACTGCACGCTGAGTTCGACTGAGGAGGGAGGTCACTGCAACACTGACGACCCTGATGAGTTCCCAATTGAGCACAATGGAGCGGAGAGGCTCGGAGCCGGAGCTGCCCTCTGGGGTCTTGGCACCATGGCTGCCACCCTGTTTATCTAAACCTGACGATTGAACTCAAGAAACTGGGTAAGTGCTTCCGGGTTGAGGCGTCAGCAATGTCCAACTACTGCTGGTACTAGACAGTCCACTAACAAATTCCTATCTGATCAGGTCTTTCGCCATTTCATGATTACACTATTCCCATGATCACTGGCTCAGCTACAAAACCATCGATACCATTGGAAGCAAGTCTACCATGGATGCCGTTATCATATACCCACGATCTCCCGCATCTATGCCTGAAAGGAAAGGGATAACGCAGGACCGAACACACTGAGGCAATACTTTCTAATGAGCTGTTCTTTATCTTTCTTCGCCTCTACCATTATGTATATAGTTTTATTTCTTAGTCAAAAATAACGAGGGAAAAAAAACCACAACCAAACCTCAATCTCTGATATCCACCCGCCTAGCTACCCTCAAAGCGAGCAGAAGAGTCTTCGGCACCGTATACCCGAGGTACCACTCACCCCCTCCCGGCCCAACACTTCCGACCAACAACCTGACTATGGCCCTCGTTACCGAAAACGAAATTAGTTCGGCCAAGGTCATGCAACTAAGCGTTGGGGCTGCCGCGTCTTGGCACACAGTCGGGGAGGAAAGCTCGGCATCCCATACCGCTTCGGGTAGGGTTTGCATTAGTCCGCCCTCGGCGATTGCTTACGACTGATGTGAAAGGCTTATGGGTTTTAGTTTGGGTCATGTATCTGTTGGGTGGCTTTGTATGGAGCTGGCTGGGCATGTTGCGTTTCTTTGGGTTGTTGGAAATACATATGCACTCGGATGAATCTTGGTCAAGTGGGAAAGTGCCGAACACGGAAGATGTTTGACTGCACTTAAATATTCGGTTAGTCTAAGTAGTAGTGTTCACTTTAGTTTTATAAACCAATAATCTCTTGATTGAGAGTAGGTAGAACATTAAATATGTGTGTGTCTATAGGGTAAGGAGGGAAACAAAAGTTCTAACTGCATAATAGTATAAACATAACTAGTCACAAGACATTCATCATAACAAAAACAGGTCTATCGTATATATAATGACTGTAAACCCCGCCAAGTCCCGCTGCGAGGATACCAAGACCCCTGCCTAGTCCAAAGTAGCATAATTCTCCAATTGAACCCCACCATCTAAGCCCACCTCTTCTCAACATAGCCATAAGAGCCATCGGCTTAGAAAAGTGACGAAGAGCATCCAGCAAGACCCATCGAGATACCAAAGTTGGAAAAGTGTCCAGCAGTGACACCAACCTGGCCGTTACCCGCCGAGCAAGAGGTATCGCGCTCACCACTGCACTTGACCGTGGTGGCCTGGGTTCCGGAGCTGTAGTATTCCTGTAGTAGACCAAAGTTAGGAGATTATGTAAAGCGTACTCATAGAAGTAGGAAAACTTACAGTGCCATAGTGAACAAAGTCCCAAGGCCACATGACGTACATGTTCTGAAACATAGCTAGTGAGCATTGAATGTCAGGTCAGATAGAGTTTAGAGCGACTTACAGGAACACCATCATCAGCATTGTTACCCCGGTTCAGGGTGCCGTTCTGAGAAGCACCAAAGTTGGCAAAGTCCTCGTTACCGATGGGGTAGGCGGCAAGGGCATTGCTGATGATTGTCTTTCCGGGGAAGTTCTGCGCAAGCGCGATGTAGGAGATGTAGGTGAGAGAGCCACCGAGAGAGTGTCCGGTCGATTCGATGGTGTAGTCGGGGTACTGCTCGACCAGCGACTTGACCTCCGAGATCACATCATCGTGTACGGAAGACCAGGGTGAATAGATGCCGTGCATCATCTTAGCACCGGAAGGGAAGTTGACGCCAGACAGGCTGGGCTCGACGAGGGTGGTGTCGACGTCGTTGGCAATGTCGGTTGCTGTCGTTGATGTCAATTTAGTTCTTAGTCAATGTAGTTATGGTTTTGATGTACTAACCACTAGTGGAACCCCTCATGGCGACGGTGATACGCTTCTTCTCAGTGGAGTAACCGATGAAGCCCTTGTAGTTTGTTAGTATAAGCAGGCTTGATGGGGGCACGGCACATACCTGGGTATCGGTTGTGAGCTCATTGATTTGCTTGGTGATGGTGACATCGAAGGCAGTACCGGTACAACCGGTGTAAGCTGCAGAGGACAGCTGCGCAGCTCTGTGTAGTTCCGTCCATTCGGCCGTGTCTGCAAGAGTTAGAAAATGGCGATACTAAAACGTCGTGGACAGCTAACCGGCAGTGGCTCGAGACTGGAGCATTGGCACAGCCAAAGTCAGAGGAGTCAGGGCGAGACCGCCAAAAAGAGTGGACTTTCCGACACGCATGACGAAAGAAATGAAGGACAAGAAAAAAGACCGAGGTAATAAACGAATGGTACTACAATGAGTCTCGAGTTTGTAGGTAAATAAAAACAGAACCGTTCTACCCAACTTCCTTTTATAATGCTATATCCTTATAATCTGTGTGCCGGTAAAAGCTTGATCGGTTGAAATAATACTGATACATCACCATAGGTCGGGTACCCCGGGAGGGAAAATCACCGGAACGGAAATCGTCCTTGGATAGGAATAGATTAGGGATTAGACTTCGAAACCATGTGCAGCAGTCACCCATGCGCCGAGGTTAGAGAAAGGCAGTTTGCTTGCGGTTGAGAACCATCAGTGGCTCACCAGAATTCGGGATGTGATTAGGGCTTGCTCCGTTGTTTCATGATCGGCTATAGTGGGGATCCGTTCGGGCGACCCAATTTTGAGCCCCGGGCTTTCAGTGGTCGGACCGCACCCTTTGTTCTAATAGTGTAGCTCCCTAGCGGCCGGTAAAAGGATTGCCAGGAGTATACATAGAACAGTTCGAAATGTCTCGTCTTCGGTGCCTCTGGGAAAACCTCGGAAGGGTGTTTGAGACCTCAACGCGGGTTCCGCCCCACTCAAACGTTTTCGATAGATGTTCGCCCGCAATCACACTGAACTTTGACTGTCGCAGATCATTGAATCGGATGCCAACTCCGCCATTGTCGCGGGATTATTGAATGGCATCACACCTGTCCTTGATGTAGCGTGTCTGAATGTCGAGACCGAGCGTTGGCTGAAATTCATCGAATTCAAGCAGTTTTGTTCATTGATGCTAAAACACTCACGCCGGACCATTCCTAACGTCTACCCCAATTATCTGGTTTTCGAGGAATATTGAAGTCACAAGGCAGGTGCCCCGTCTCAAGGTTTCAGGGTAATGGAAAAGGGAATATCCGCTTGTTTTCATTTACGGCGTATCCCATTCCGATTATTAACCACGAGGCACTGTCCATGATCGTGAACACGCATGGGACGGGACTGTCAGTCTGTTGATCATAGGACTGCGGACCGAATTCGAGAAGATCAGTCCCACAAAGTATGACCACGGGATGATCGTAGAAGAATTGAAGGTGTGAACCGTCACAATGGCCATTCTCATGGCCCACATGGTCCTGCCCAATCCTCAGTCGTTGTTGGCGGTTTTCCCGAGGCGACAAATTGCAGGAATCTGATTGTAGTTGTCATTTCCCAGTAATATGGGCCTAGCCAGCTTGGCTAGAATGTGTATTGCGGAAATCTGAATAGTCTCCTATTGTTTTCTGGATTCCACAGATAGAAATTTTAGGGAAATCAAGCCGAGGTCCGCTGAAATGCCGTTCAACGTAGGTACAATACTGTACAGAGCTCCATGGACTTTTCCCTGGTCAAAGCGGCTTTTGAATCCTTGATCTGGATTGTCTTGGCACTCTGATCGTAACATGTATATTTCTTGCAGTTTCTACGAATTGGGTCGCGAATCGGTCGTATTTACCTATTGGATCAATTTACATCCATTTCCCTCAGATCAAACCAGGTGAAAGCCGCCTTTCTTAACATATGTACTAACCGGCAATCGGATCGTTCATGCCCGCCAAACTCCCCGTAACATATTTGCTGATACGACCAAAAAAGAGGATATGAAAGCTTACGTGTAGCAGAGCATGCACTAGCCGAAAAATCACCAATCACTCTTGTTTTGATTCGTAGCACACATGGAAGATCAGTATGCTGCCCTTCTGTAAAGTAAAACTTTACCTAGATCTAATGTTAATTTTCTCCATCATCACCATGCACTTCATGCATCAGACCCAGCTGAGCTCTGCCTGATCTTTATTTCAAGTTGCACCGGCTTGACGAACCACATATTCTTTGACCTCATGTCTGTACCACCTTTCTGCTGTATATCAATGTCATAGTCCCGAACGAGCTGCGGGATGAGTTTGTTGATCTCATACAGCGAGATGTTCTTGCCGATACAAGTCCTTGATCCAACTCCGAAAGGAATAAGACACTGTTCCATCATTCGGAGCTTTTCAGAGTCATCCGTCAACCATCTCTCAGGCACGAAGTCATCAGCATCGGAGCCCCAGATACTCTTATCCCGGTGAATGACCCAGCTGTTTACACCGACATTTGTCTATAACTCCATCAGCACATGTTGGATAAGGATCCAGAAAAGGCACAACTTACACCCTCCGGGAAGAATCGTCCACAAATAACAGCTCCACCCTTCGGAACGATACGGAAAAGGGGAAACCCAACACCCGGATGCAGACGCATCGACTCCTTGATAACAGCCTGCAGATACGGCAATTTCTGAGTATCCTGGAAAGAAGGCTCGCTTCCTAGACCAGCATCTTGAAGTTCTTGTCGAAGCTTCTGCAGCTTCTCGGGGAACCGAAACGAGTAGAATATCACTGAGCTAAGACCAATTCCCGTGGTGTCACTCCCAGCACCAATATTGGCTGCTGCGCTTGTCTGAATATCTCTATCTGTCAGGCCTTTGACGTCCTCTTGCCGAGCATGAAGAAGCCTTTGGACCATGGGCTTTAGCCCCTCAGGAGATGGATCTTTGAGAAACTCCTGTGACAACTCCATGAACTTCTGCGCGTTGAAACGAGTCACGTACAAGGCATCTGACTTCGCGAAAAAGCTGCCGAGGAAAAGAGCCAATGGCCGCAGCCAGAGGAGAAGGCCCACCAGACTGCTAAAGGTGAAGCTGTTATCCAAGTTGGAGATCAAGTTATTGATGTCCTTGCCCTTATCCAGGAAACCGAATCGCTCGCCGTACTGTTTAATTTAGCATGGCTAGATCGGGTTAAATAAGGGGAAGGTTGGGCTGGATGAGCATACCGTAATCTCGCTAATGGTATCAAAAGCAAAGCACTGAAGCCAGTGTCCCAGGTCCAAAGTCAACCCGTCCTTTGCAGTGGAGTCGAGCTTCGCACGCAACCGCCGGATACAGTTATTCACATAGGGCTCGTACGATACTACAGAAGACATGGCGTACATGGCTGCGACCTTGCGACGGGCGCTGGAGTGATCGGTCGTGTTTCGGACGGAAAAGAGGTTATGGCCCTCCGGGTC